AACGAGTTTCAATTGTGAACGCTGCCGATCCTTCATTTAGCATTTTAAAATTCCTTGTTATTAAAATTCCTTATCTTTTTCGGAGTATTTCGCACTTTTACGATCGAAACATTGGCAAAAAAAACTGTGACTATTAGCCGGCACCCCTTGATATTCATTTTTCAGGAAAATAGGCATAAAGCCCATTTTTCATGGGAATTTATTTTATTTCTTCATCTGATATTTTAGAATCAATAATAGAAGCTAATATGTTTTGCAAACCAATTGTTTAATTCCCAGTACCTTTAATTATTGCAAAATTAATAAAGTTCTTCTGGTGAACCAATTAAAGCATTTATCAAAGCTGGACTTGCACAATATTAGATCCTTAGGATGAACGCATTTGCCGAGAAATTATAGAAAATTGCAAGAATCTTCTTTTCAAGAAAGCTACGACGAAGGACAATTAAGGAATGGAGAAACTGAATAGTTAAATTTTATAAAGTCTCGATTAAAACTGTGATAGCCTAAGCCCATTAAAATCAGTAAATCATCCATGGAAAGGGAAGCACTTTTGTTTTTCGGACCGACTTGCGATTTATATTTTTGTTGGCAAAGGACTCTCTGGCAACGGGGTTTCATATCACTGGAGCAAGCCGAGCCAGGAATGGCGAATGCTTTAAGAAGGAACCAATTAGGATTTCATATTTTTGTTGGTTGAATTAATTTTTTAGAAAAGAAAATTTTTCCTTCATTATTACAAATTATTAATAAATAAATATTGAAGTGTTGTGGTATTTATTAATATTAGCGATTAACGTTGGAAATTGGTGATATTCTTCATGAAGGCCGAGGGTGTGGCAATTTATTAAATGAATTATGTGTATCGACTTTAATTTGGGTTTCGAGATGGACTCAGCCGGCAGCTCTATTGCTAATGTCTTTGATTCAAGCAGGATTTCAGCATTTTTCCATAGCGATTCAACCAAACACTCAATCGTTAAATTCAACAAACGAAATTCTGTAATTTCGCATCAAATTTATTGTTATAGCTGTCCAATTAAATCCAATTATTGTATATTATTTTCATAAAAATTATCATGTTTTAGCGATTTGAGACGAGTGCTTGCTACAGTAAAAATTCTCCTTCTGTCTCCTCAACATTTGATCCGAAGACAAATACGGGCATAAAAAAATTTTGCGTTTATTTGCAGGTAAGCAAAAATAATTCTTTTTGGGAATCGCCTTCATTAATTAGAAAAAGATTGTGTTAATAACTGTTCCAGTATAATTTTCCAGTTATAGTCTCTTATCATGCCGCATCATCCCGAATAGCCCTAAGAGCCCATTTTTACTACTATCGTCAAATGACTCAGTGATAAAACTTCCACTAATTAATAATCAGTGAAATATGCCTAACCAAAAATCGTTAGCGCTAACTGGCTCATCACAAACGGTAAATAATTCGAGAAATTTCATAACAAATATAGATAAAATACAATTTTTAAAAAATGGATCTATTAGAAAATGATTTAATTAAATCCTTAATATAATATGTTGTATTCTTTACAATACTATTTGCTATTTACTATTTGCTCTTGATTTTCGATAATTTCACTAAATTTTTTTTTTTTAAAGAATCTTCACCTTTACTGGTTAAGCTCGCTCCACAGGCTTGTCGCATTGGGCAATATGCCAGAGAGTCCCTTGGCGATAGAAATATAGGAGAATCGCCAGCATCACCCGGATTTGTGGACAGGTTTACTCCTGCAGGGAATCGAACCTCAGCATCAGCTCTCCTAATTGAGCAAAAACCCACTGAGCCATTCTATTCCCAATTCTATTCCCAATATTATACTAATTCGAATCCTTGTTTAAAAGCTGAAAAAAATCATCAGTAGAGTGAAAATAATGATAATAATATTGTTCTTTATAAAAATACTTCATCACTTGTCAGCTTCTTATTCTTCCAACAGCTCTCACCATTACTGGTTAGGCTGGTTCCAACGGCTACAAGGGTAAGATGCTTCCAAGCGGCGCGGTCTGATGCCATCGTCGACAATAATGGAAGCCATTCCTTTTTCCATCGCCTAAGTCCATATATTGCTGGTCCACCTATGCGTTCAAAATCTTTTCTCACCGTATCAGTCCAGGTCTTGATTGGCCCATCTCGCTTTTGACGCCAACCATCGCACGGTTTAGCAAATAACGAAATATGCGTCAACTCCTCTGGTGGACGACGGAGAATGTGCCCTAACCAGCTAAGGCGGCGCTCTGTGACATTATGCAAGTGGTATTTGAACGAAGGTGGATGCGATCATATGATATCTTTTCCGCTCGACGGATCCGTAATATGTACCTTAGACAAGAGTGGTCAAAGACAGATAACTTCTTAATATCCTGTATACTCTCATTGGCCATGTCTCAGAACCATATAGTAAGATCGAACGGATCACGGCAATATAGAAGCGAACTTTCGTTTTTATGGTGATTTCACGACTCCATAAAGGTTTCGTCAACCGGAAGAACGCATTTCTGGCTGCCGTGATCCGAGTTGTAATGTCATCTTTTACCTGCCCATTTGCTATTAGAGTGGACCTAAGGTATTTAAAATCGGGCACTTCCTCAACCGGCAATGAATTTACAAAAGAGGCATTTTATCAACTTCTTGCACATAAGACGAAAAGACTTTCGTTTTATTTACATTGATCCTGAGTGCGATTCTTGCTGCAGTTTCTGACACGTTATTTAATATTACTTGCATTTCGTTAAAATTGTCAGCAAAAAGGACTACATCATCAGCGTGTTCAAGATCTGTGATACGATGCTCTGGACTAATTCGGATACCTCTTGAGTGCCGACAAGCAGTGTCCATTATCCAATCTATCGTATAGTTGAATATTGTTGGGGAAAGGACGCAGCTCTGACGGACACCTGTTCTTATTTCGAAGGAATCTGTCCGCTTCCCATATACACAAACTTGCGCCGACGTGTGCTCATAAAATGCCTTTATGAGTCTAATGATTTTCTCTGGAACACCGTCACGTTCCATCACCCTCCAAAGCGTCGCTTTATCAATTGAATCAAAGACAGTCGCAAAGTCGATGAAACACGTGACAGTGGGTTGCAAATATTTAAAGCGATGTTCCAACACCCTTCTTAACGTGAATATCCCGCCCTGGTCTGAAACCAGTTTGATTAGGGCGCATCCTGCTGTCTCGTACTTCCATAAGTCTGTTGGGTAGCAGGGAAGCAAAAATTTTTGTTGAGACGTCTAATAGGCTGATTCCTCGATAATTGTCGCAGTATATCCTATCACCTTTCTTGAGAATTGGGAGCAGAATTGTCTGTTAATATTTCTTTTTTCCATACTAAAGAGTACATTTGTTGAAGCTGCGTTATGAAGGACGATGGACAGCATTTAAAAAACTCAGCCCGATGACCATCTTTTCTTTTTTTTGGCCTTAAGCTTATGGATAACTGAAATTATTTCTTCTTCTGTTGGAGGCTCGCAATTGCAAACGTATGCTTCGGCAAACGTATCAGGGAAAACAGATGGCGCTTCATGCTTAAGTTTGGTCTCAAAGAATACTTTCCATCTTATGAGGCAATCCTTAATATTTTTGATGAGTACGCCATTGCAAAAATCATTGATATTATTGAGATACTTCAATAATTCGGTTTGAAGTGCGCTCCCCGAATTTTTTAGTTTGAGATAGTTGAAGGATCTTTCTGCAAGTGGTCAATTTTATTTGAGCGGATATCATAACATGGTCAGATCCATGAAGATTACCCGTTTCAGCTTCGCTATAGAAACGACTAGTACGGAACTCTTCCGGCGATTGACTAAGATATGATCAATCTGGTTGAAATATTGGTTGTCCGAGTTCCATGTGACTAGATATTTTCTATGATGCCGGAAGCAAGTATTAGTGACAAAAAATTCATGCTCTTCGGCATAACGAAGAAGACGTTCCCCATTAGCACACCGGTCTCCGATGCCATATTTTCCAATTGTTGAGGTCATCGCAGCTTCATTACATTGTGACCTACGCGAGCATTTCATTCTCCCCCGATTATAATCATATCATTTTTCGGTAGAGATTTTGTTAGCAATTGAAGTTCCGCATAGAACTTGTCTTTATAACGGTCATCTGTCGACAAAGTTGGAGCATAGACACTGATGACCGAGATACAGAACTTACCCTTAAAATGGGCATAGGCCATACGGTCATTTACCGGTTTTCACTCAATCAAAGCGGAATGGGCCTTGTCAGACATGACAATCGCTACGCCATTTCGTTTTCGTTCCGAGTTATTCGAAGCACCACAGTGATATAGCCAGTATCTCTGCTTTGAACCAGGATTAATAATTGCTCGAGACCTAAAATGAGGAAGAGGGACGAGCAAGCGATATCCACATGATACTTAGACAAGGTGTGGACAGTGATCACTTGGCTTGCAACGTCCATAAGCATTCTGACGTTCCACGCTGATACGGCTAATACCTTGCCGCGCGTGCAGAGGGCTGTTCCCCTCTTGATAGGTTTCGAGTAATTACCCTGGCTTGCGATCGCATTTTATTTACCAGCCTTGGGATCGCTTTATACACGGATTGTATACTTATCGCATGTACCAACGGGCTCGGAGTATCATGCGCCTCGGGAGACGTGGACGTTGTATTAAGTGTACGTGTAAGTGTAAGTGTCTTTCACCACAGAGTTACTTGGGGATAGAATTACAGGTTCCCAGCAGCCACCCGAATTTTTGTAATAGCAGATTTACTCCTGCCAAAGACAAAAAAAATTAAATTAAATTAAATTTGAAAAAAATAATAAAAAATAATAGACAATCAATCAATCAATCAATCAATTTTAAAAAAAATAAAATAAGAAGGCAATTAAATTTAAAAAAATATATCTATATAACTTTATGTATATAAAATATATTATTTATACAATGATTTGATTTATGATTTATTTAATTTAATTGATTGATTTAATTGATTTAATTTTAATTTATTTTATTTTAATCGTTATTTGGTGAAAAAAAAAATAGCTGAATTGTGATCAGAAATGAAAAATAAATTCGCAGAAATAAATCGAGAATATTTTTTGAAACGATCGCTTAGCAAAAAAAAATTTTTTTTTTATTTTTTTATCACTTTTTAGCTAATTATCACCTAATCATAAACTGGAAGTCTGATATTTCTTTTCAGTGTATTTACGAAAAATCTCGAATTCATAATTTGGTACCCGTACTAATATTGGTTGCATATTCCTTTCTTGGCGGTCTAATATTTTATTCACTCGAATCGCCAAATGAAGATATTTTCATAAAGGAGAAAAGAGAGTATTTTGATAACGAAAAACGCTTACTTACGAATATAATTATGGATATTGAACAAGATGTAAATAGTTTTCGACAACGATACAATAATACTTATATTATTAATGCAAGGCTAAGGAAGTATCGAAAATTTGCTTTGAATCGCCTCAAAACGGTTTGTTAAATTTCTCTCTTCTCACCATATTTATTGCCAAGGCGATCAGTCGAATCGTGTTAGCAACAATAGAATAATCTTAATTTTTCCATCAATTTTATTTTTTCCTTATAAATTTTGATTTTTCAAAAATCAACCGAAAATTATCAAATTATACAAGTGTTTTCTCACTGATATTCGTATCCCTTAAGAAATAATGATAACCAATAATAATAGTAAATCCAGCGCGAATAAAATTGACTGAGGAAAAAATTCATTTTTAAATTTATCTTTCACGGCAAACTTTGAAAAAAAAATTAGAAAACAAAATTTCGAAGGATTAAAAATTTAAAAAAAAAATTTATCTGAGTGAAAAGAAAAATAACCGTTCATAACTGCCATTCAAAGTTCAATTTTATGAGCAATTTTACTCCTAAAATTTTTTTTCAGTTGGTCGTTTTTTGTGAAAATTCTGCGAAAATTGGTTAATTTAAATGAAATAGCCATCAGAGAGAACTTTGATGAAAAATTTTAATAAGATAAATTTTCATTTTTTTTGTAAAATCCTAATTTGCCAAATTATTGCCAAATCTGGCGATCCAATTGTACTTTTATCGTCGAATGAGTCCTTGGTAAAAGTTTCTAACTCCACTAATATCCAACTTCATTATCAGTTAATAAAGCCTAACCAGAAATGATCATTAAATTGAATATCAGTTTAATTTTCAAGTATACGATTAACTATTTAATTTCATCGGTCTCAATTATGACAGAAAATTTTATGTTCTTGTTGATGATTGGCTTTCGATAAATTCAGGCAATATTTTGGAATTAATAATCTCGAAGCAATGAGATAATAAGAGAACTTACTTCCAAAAATCCTCATAAATTCTGAGGAGAACGGATAAATGAGTGAAATTCTTTACGAATTCTTCGACTGAATTAGTGACTCGAATCCTATATATTATTGATAAATTGCTCATTATAAGTGTTATCCAGGCTATGCTTAAGGTCGAACCAGTCTGCACTTCTATCGGAAAGTGATTTTCTGGCGACATTATCTCAGTACTGCTTAGCCAACTGATTAGCCAAAGAGAATGATCTCCATTAGAAAAGAAAGGAAAGAATTTTCTAAAGCGATCATTCTCAAAATATAACTTCAAAAAGGTGTTGTCCCACTGAACTTTTTGAGTTAATTGCTATTGCTATCACCATTTTAAATTTTCGATAAATTCTGGGATCTTCAGATTGCAAAAATCTGAATAATTCGAATAATTTTTATTATGAAAGTCGACGTCGAAGGTATTTTAATCAAAAATTTTTAATGAAATCAAAAAATTTTGTTTGAAAAATAATTTATAACTTTTTTAAATAAATTCTTACCTTTAAAGTTGGTGAATTAATTCATTAAAAATAAGTAACACGCGAAACGATAATCTGAGCGATAACTACTCGGTTATCGTGCCTCTGAAAAAGAATAAAACAATTATATTTCGACTACTCGCGATATTTTTCCAGAGCATCGTTTTAGCACTTTTAAAAAATTTTAGCGATATTCATCATAACCATTAGAAATTTTCGAAGAACGAAATATTTCCTCGTTGTTTTCTGTTTAAAAATTATCAATTGAACAAGAAAAATTTGTTGATTTGATTAAATTAACGAATCTCTAAAGAAGAAAATAGAAGTTGGCACTCTCTGATTAGCTTATAAAATCTTTGGAGTTATTTAGCTAAAAGTGCCGGTGAATCGCCACCACTCCACCTATCAGATCTCTTAAGGGTCTCTTCCTGTTGGAAGGAGATCTGCAGCAATTACCTCTCAACGCTGAACACTTTAGCATTATCCATTCTGCTATTCTGCATTCCTGTCGGGGTAAAGCGGTGTTTGCTGAGCTTAAATTTGAAATTTCTTAAGTTTTAGACAATTTACTGGTATATATTAAGTGCATATTATTTAACTGATCGTGAAGGTCATAAAGCTTCGTTGCTCAATCCACAAAATCCAGAAAGAATTTGGCAAAATCATTTTGCATCGAATTTTGGTCGTATTCGAGCCTTAAGAAATTATACCGAGCAGGTATTTGTGATGATTTTTCCTTACTTTTGTCATTTTTCAATAATTATAATTTCGCATTTTAATTATATTATTTAATTATGTAAATTATCAGCTATCACTTCGTTGTTGGGAAATCGGTTTGGAATTCAGTGAAGATCGAAAGTTCTCTTTTGATAAATTGGAAGAAGCAATATCGTTGTTTAATTCATGGACGGGACTTTCTCAAGTGCTCACACCCACTTGGACTTTTTGGAATTCAATGTTTTTTGCCGGTTGACATTTATCGTTATTTTTTTCACTTTCTTTCTAAGAGCAGTCACATTTTTCATATTTGCTTTGGTGACTCTGTTGGACCAGAATTTTGCCAGAATGTCATTTGATGATAGAAGCAAATGTGAATTATCATCCAGATTTTGAAGATCAGGTTCACTCATGCAGGGCCTAGAATCATCGCGCTTCGAATTGAGTAAACCCTTTAGCGACATTGCCGTCCAACAAAGCGTGGTGCTTTGGCCATCTCATGATTCTTTCCCTATTGATGCAGAAGAGAGAATGTTTTGAAAATTATTCAAGCAATATTTAAAATAACCTATCGCTCTTAAAGTTTCGAAATGGTTTCGTTTATTTCCAGTTACAACGTACACCACAATTGGTTACGGTAATATCACTGCGAAGAGCAAGGTTGGCAAGTTGGCTGCAATGCTTTATGCTGTTATTGGGATACCTCTGGTGCTTATGATATTGCATAAACTTGGAAGGCAATTTCTTAATGTCCTCGAATATTCGTGGAATCTTGTGGTCAGGTAAAGTTTTTTTTTTCATTGCGATTTGCGTTAAATATTCACAAGAGAAAACAATCTATCGCTATCACAAGCAGACACACTCTTCGACAGAATACTTGAGTGGTATATTGCTCCTAACGTTGAACAATGGTTTCAATGGTTTCAAAGGTTTAACACACCACTGCTACTTTTATTTCCAATAATTTCCTGATGCAAGAGTTTTGTCACAACAGTCAGTGGAGCCAGCAAAAGAAATATTGAGTGCTATTAGAGAACGGATATGTCCCTCAGAGTCCTCTGAATAAGAATTAAGGCCTTATTCTTAAAAGTGTTATTAGAGTATTAAGCCACTAAAAGTACCACTGAAATGCTGATTTTATTTAAAATTAATCAACATTTTAAACTACTGGAATTTAGGACCATTGAATTCGTTGTTTGTATGAAGGATATTAGTCGCTGGAAACGGCAACTGGATGAAAAAAGTCGAGAAGCCAACATGCCACTTCTTCTTGCTGTATATTTGCTGTTCATTTATTTTTTTCGTAAAACTGTTTATGTCGTAAGTCAACTAGATATGTCGTAAGTCAACTAGATAATATATACAATGACTGATTTGTCACAAGCGATATGTGTTATTGCTTTTGAAGCAGTTCGGTTCCTTAATGAGAATAAAATTTTGCCTTTCCTTTCACCTTTCATTTAAACCTTTCATTTGCTGAATTTGCCGGTCATAAAAGTTTAGAGGTGGTTTTATGGATTTTTGCTGATGCAGTAAAAATAAATTTATGATACGTGATGAAAGCTTTTTTTGCCACAAAACTGACTTATCGCAGTAAATCCCAGCTAAGACGTAGCTTTGTAGTAGCCTTGAGGCTATCTATCACTATCTGTCTTTATTTTAAATATTTCAACTGATAGGCATCAACTGCCTTTATTCTATATTACGAAACACTGCCAATACTATCTATAAGCTTATTTACATTTCAGCTTGGAATAGCATCTGGCTGGATGTTTCTTTGTGCTGCGGTCTTCCTTAGATTTGAAAAAGATTGGGATTATTTTAAAAGTTTTTATTTCTTTTTCTGTTCTTTAACAACAATTGGATATGGTCAGTTTATGAAATATTTTTAACTTATTAGCATTTTCTCAAATTCGAATAAATATTGGCTAATAGCTTCTGAAAGCTTTTATCTTTTAAACGTATTCACATGTTCTGGTTTACTTGGATCCCACTGACCTATAATTTTTTTTAAAAAAGCACTTACCATTACTGGTTAGACTCGCTTCTCTGGCTTGTCGCACTAGACAAATATGCCAGGGCCTCCCTAGGCGATATAAATGAAAATTGCCAAATGATTTACTGATTTTTAGACAGTTTTACTGCTGCCGGAATAAACCTCAGCATCTAAATTGAACTAAAACATACTGAACAATTCTATTTTTCTTTGCTTTTCTTTATAAGGCGATGCTATCGCCCGATGAAGAATGCTGTGGAACCCAAGCCTAGATTCTCGATGGTAATTATTTTGCCATTGAGCCATTGATCTATAATGAAATCCTTTCGCCAGGAAGCCATTTGAGGATGTGCAAATGAGCCAGCGGACCATAATAATAAGTTTCCATCAAAACAAGGAGTCAAACCTATACTTGTTCTCAGGCAAAGCAACATACTACTTGATTCACCTATGCAGTTGAATTTTCCAGTCAAATTCAAAAGCTTAAGATAATAGATATTTTTTGGCATATCTTTATAGTTAATTAGCCAGTAGAATGGCCAACAGAATGCGAAATTTCAGGTGATGTGACTCCAACTAATTCCGAAGACATGTTCATAATATTTGGATTTATTATGGTTGGACTATCTTTAGTAAGCATGTGTATTAATGTCGTTCAGTCAAAATTTGAGCAATTATTTGAAGAATTACTTCTAATGATGATGGAGGAATATCGGCAGACTGGAATACCGACACCTGACATGCATGTTTGTTTATTTACCCATATCAAAGTTGTAAATAAAATATTAAATAAATTATTTAAATTATTTAAGGGCAAAATGAGTATGATGGCAATGTGGCGAATGTGGAGGAAAAAGAGGAAACAGAGGAAACCAGAGAATTCGATAGCATCGAGAACAGTGATATCACTGAAACGAAGGAGGCAAGCTTTGGTAGAACAAATTCGCCGATCGTTGAATATGGCAAGAAATTTTTTTCTCCTGTGCATTTTACCATTTTCTGGAAATTTGATAAAGTAATTAAAAAAATGATAAGGAAAGTGGCTGAAGCTGTAAAAAACTAATAAAATTTCAATCTTTTATCTAAGAATATTTTTTCGTTCTTCTAACAACAAGCACCACTCCGCTTTGGTTGGGCTCCACTAATTAAAGAGTCATTCGGTGATAAAGAATCATTCGGCATCAATGTAGGTCTTTAGTGGCTAGAGGAAATATTTCGATGAAGAGAATAAGTATTGTAGGTTTCACTTGGTGTACAAACAGATATGGTTTGCTTTTGTAATAAGCAAATGTTAAATGTTACTCAAAATTTCACCGACTCAAACATCTGGTTAGATGCTGCTCCCTTTTCACCGCTAATCAATCCTTCAGTTCGTATGTGTTGTACAATAGTCGAAAATATTACAAAGTTGGTTTTTCTACTATTTTTCTTGCAAAATTATATAACTTTTTTTTGATTTTTTATCGGTGTATGCACCACACTGTTTCGAATTGACTCCCCGATTTTTCATATCTTCCCGTTCTGATAGCTCTGATAGCATTTATGGCGAGGCGTTATTATATGACCGAATAACCAGTTAGTTTCTCATAGGCCTTTTGCTAATCGGTTATAATTTAAATTTTAGTCCTATATTTCAGTATATAAATGATTAGAACGATTTATAATGGATTTTTTTCTTAGCAGAATACCTCTTATTGCTCGGAGAACCGAATATGTACATTCAGATAGTATTCAGCCAAATAAATCCACATCTTTGGATAGCTCAGGATATGCATCAGTTGACAAAAGATCTTCGTTAAATACTTCTTCTGGTATTATTTAAAATTTAAAATTATAAATTTTTTAACTAATTAATTCATAAGGAGGATTGAACACCATCAGCTGCGAGGAAATAAGCGATATTACAGGACATATAAATAAATTGCAGATTCCGTTCGTTCTGCGGCAAATTATCAAATACGTCGAAATTCGACGATGGAATATCCCGAGGCAAGGAAAAGATGGGTATTTGCGCAAACTGATCAAACACCACGTGGTGCTGCCAGAGGATTAATTTCTCCTATGTATATGTATATGCCAAGGCGAGCTAGGAAGGTAAATATCGTTAATAATTGAAGTTCATTGATAAAGTTAGTGCGCCTCTTGAGGGTTGCTATTCGTTGAAAAAAGAATCAAACCAAAAATAAGTTCATAACGACTAAATGATGGATTCCAAAGAACAAGCACAGGATTCAGGATTCAGAGAATGAGAAGACATCAAATTTCAAAGAATAAACAATGAAAACTCGAAAGAATAAGTTCGAGAAACAAATCCAAAGATTGTGAACGATTCTGAAGGACCAAGTCATATGAAAAAAGAATTTGCATTTATAACCTTTCTCTTCACTCTTAATTTTCTAGTTAAAATTGTATTTTTTCACCGTAATGGCAATCATTTAGATTGTAAAAATAGCCTTTTAATTTTTATCCTCTTCTTCAATTTCATTACCTTAAAATCGTTATTTTAGATTTATACGACTGACTTAAAAAATTTATTTGCTGAAGTTGACGCCCGTCTAAATGAATGCCATGCAATTGCTGCCACCTCAACACCTTCATCAGATGTGTCCTTATCACAAACAAACCAACAATTTACACATTTCAACTTTAACAATAAACTTTGGAAATAGATTCTTATTTCAGCCAACATTTCTCCAATTATTGCCTTATAATAATTGTTTAGAATTATTTGCTATTTCGACTTAACATTTCGACTTTAAAAAAATAAATCTTTGATATGTGATAGTACTATTTGTTTGCTTTAATAGTAATAACTACATCAAGATATTTCAGCAGACAGCGCTAAATCAGACGAAACATAAGCTTGTATATATATTCGAGCATCTTCTCACCATTACTCGTTAGGCTATCTACTAAGCTAAGAGATCGTCAAAATGTTCGGTTCAACACCGTCACGGTAATAGAAGCCATTCCTTTTTCCACCGTCTATGTTCATATTTCGATGGTTCACCCATACATTCAAAACCTTTTCTGTCAGACCAGGTTTTGATTGCCCATCTCGCTTTTGATGCCACCCACCACAGGGTTTGCAGGAAATGTACCAACTTTTGTGGTGAGAGCTGAAGTATATGTCCTAACCAGAAGGCAACGCTCTATGATGGAAGTATTAATGCAGTTATATGAGTGAAGGTGAATGTGGTTATATGAGATTTTATCCGTTCGACGAACCCATAAAATATATCTAGACATAAATGGTCAAAAGCAGATAGTTTTTTGCTATCCCCTATTTTCGTTGGCCATGTCTCGCAGCAAGACCGAGCGACCTGCAACTATACGGACTTTTGCCTTAATGGCGATTTCACGACTACTCCATAAAGATGTCGCCAATGGAAAATGAACTACCGGAAGAATATCTATTTTTATCTATCGTCATCCTAGTTGTGATATCGTCTTTCATTTGGCCGTTTTGGACTAGAATAGATTTAAGATTTAAAATTTAAATCTAGCACCGAAGACCGAAGAAGTAATTGATAAAAATTGATAAGTAATTGATAAAAATTGACAAAAATTGAAAATTGATAAATTGATAAGTAATTGGTAAAAATAATTAATTGATAAAATAAATAAAAAAATAAGTAATTGATAAAATAAATAAATAAAATAAGTAACTAAATATGTAAATAAATAATTGATAAGTAATTGATAAAAATTGATAAAAATTGAAAATTGATAAATTGATAAAAATAAGTAATTTATTCGTATATAAGACGAAAACACTTTCTTTTATTTACATTGATTTTAAGTCCAATTCTCGCTGCAGTTGTGTTAACACATTGTTCAGCATTTAGCATTATTTGCATTTCGTTAGCATTTCAAAAAAAGATATGATGCTCTGGACTGATTTCGACAAGCATCGAAAAGCAATTTCCGTCATCCATTCTATCACATAGTTGAATAATGTAAGCAAGGACGCAGTCTTGATGGACAGTTCTCATTTTCAGAGGAGTATATCAGTTCCCATAAACCTAGAGACGTACGCTGATAAAATGCCTTAATGAATCGAATGATCTCTCGCCAGAGACCGTCACATTCTATCACCTTTCAAAAGACCATTCTGTCAACTGAATCGAATACAGCTGCAAAATCGATGAAATGACATTGGCTTAACGGTATTTGAAGTTCCAACGATGTTCCAAAACCCGTCTTAACGTCAATATCTGGTCAGAACAGCGGTCTAAATCCGGGCACATACCGCTGTCTCGTATTGCCATAAGTCTATCGAATAGGAGGCTGATTCCTCGATAATTGTGTCTGTCTTTCCATTTCCTGTCGCCTTTCTCAGGAAAATGAACTTAAATCATTGGAAAGAGTTGATGAATTTTCGATCCGAGTTCAATCATCAAGAGTTCTCTCTTGACGGAAATAAGTGTAGTGTTAACGATGACGAATGATGCCATTTTCTTAAGATCTCAACTTAAAAAATTAACGCTTTCATATCGATCTGCCACAAGACAATTCCGCACACGCAATTGCGACAACCTGGCCACTGGAGACTGGAGGCACTAATTTAGACCGATTTGAAGCTCAGACCATTCTTTTATTGAATGAATGGAACAAAGAAACCATAGCTGAATGAATAGTGGGAAAAGATTCGCCCATTATTCTCAGCACAAATAAATACATGATTTAAAAATCCGCAAAAAGCCGATCATTAACATAATGCAGCCACACTCTTAATTTGCAGTCGAAATTTCACAATTGAGGTATTTTTGTCAAAACATTAAAGAAGAGAAAAGTGGTGAGGTGGTTCTCATTTCGGTTTATATTGTAGTTGGTTAATGTTTTTTTTTTGGACTGAGGTCAAAGGTTAGGAGTTGGAGAGATTGTTCTGGTGAGAAATTAGTAAATATGTACGGAACTGTTAAATACTTATATCAATACTTATATGTATCACGTGATATCACGTGATGGGTGAGAATATCCACTTATACGTCTTCTTTTTCTAAATGTACTTCCGATTTGTCCGTTATTTTGGTGGGAATTGCGGTATTAAGGTGCAGTTGAGTCTGCAGCGGTTACTCGGTTTTCTCTTCTAGTGATTCACTCTCAATCAGTTCCGCATGGCCTCAGTTGAAACAACATCGTTCACTTGCGCTTCAGATTCTGTTTATAAATCGTTGACTATTAGGACATTCTTCTTTTCTGTAACTGGTTATTTGATTAATCTGGTTTGTGTATTTCATTAGGGAAAATTCTGGTTCTTTTTGAACCATTATCGAGGTCGTAATCGATCGCTTAGTAAATTCATTTAGTCTTTTAATTGGTGTCATATGGTGTCGCATCTTTTCCCCACTTCAAGTTGTTTTTTTCATTAATTAATTATTTTTCACTATTTCTTCAAAGATTCCGTTTTTATAAGTTTTTTTTTTCATATTTAGTTGCTCATATTTTAATAATTTAGGCGTAATGCCAATATTTGGTGAAGCAACATCGCCGTACGATGAGATTGTCGAGAAAGTTACCGCAGAGACTTGTACTTCGGAGAATTGGGCGCTAATTTTGGATATATGCGATCGAGTTTCCGCTGATCATTCCAAAGGTTTGTTTTTTTTTCTGCTTTTCGCATCGCACTGTACTGGTTGCATTGGATAGAAAGATTGCATTGGATAGAAAGACATTTTATGTATTTTATAAGGCATTTTTAGGTTTCCTGTTACAATGGCATATCTAAAATTTGTATAATTCACCCTTTCTTCGCCATCTTCATTCAAACATCGCTGGGATTTATCTATCTAAAATCTAATTCAATCGCTAAATTCAAATTAGATTATAGAATGAATTTTTATCTATCGTAATGATTTATTTCCTTAAAATATCCATGGTTGAAGATTAATCAAACAATCAAATGGAAGAAAATAATGAAATGAACGAAAAAAATTGAAGATATTTTCATCCTATTTTACTTGATTTTTAGGTGCTAAAATGTGTTTGCTTTCGATAAAAAAACGATTAAATCATCGCGATCCACACGTTATTTTATTGGCTTTATCACTATTAGATTCGCTTTGGAATAATTGTGACAGTAGTTTTAGACGTGAAGTTTCATCGCGAGAGTTTTGTCAGGAGCTTGGTTCTAAAGCTACTCATGTAAGTTTTCTCAAATTTTTGTGTTATTCACCACGGATTTGCATTGTTATAATGATTCAGAGTATTTTAAAGCCATTACTTTAATTTTTAATTTTGAAAATTTTTCCATAACTTAGATTAGTTTGTCTCCTTAATTGTCTCCTTAATTCTAAGAGAAATAATTCATGCCAACATTTAGTCGATTATTTTTGATTTTGCATTTTATTTCTACATTTCAGAAACAATTGCTTGAAATTTTCATTCAGATTCATGGGTTATAATTTTAAGTTACTTAAATAATGCTTTATAGAGTAATAGATCAGTTGGTGAGAAAACCCGCTCAATTTTGAAGAAGTGGGCAGAGAATGAATGTAAAAAAGATCCATCACTAGGCCTCATCGAGACGCTTTATAAAAATCTACTCGTGGAAGGTCATTCATTTGAAAGTGATCAACCGTCTAAGCCATCGGTTAATTTTTCAACTTGGCTCTAAAGTTCTTATAATCAAAGATATATTTTGATTTGCATTGCCAAAGAATTAAAATATTTTATAGAATGTAAATATGGATCCCGATGTTGTACAAAATAGTGAAGAAGAAGCAGCAATCGCACGTGCTATAGCTCTTTCACTTGATGAAAGTTCTCGAGTTCCAGTTTCATCTCTGTATCCTTCCAATATTTCGGATTCCATTCCAGCTCAAAAGTTAGCCATTTAGGATTTTTTTCTTTTTTTCTCCATTTCCAGTGATATTACAATTGATACATGTTAAAATGGTCTTAGCGTAATTTCCGAACAAATTTTATAAGTTTTTGATAGATTTATTAGAATTATAGATGATTTTTTTGCATTTTTCATCATATAATATTTTTTAAAATTTTCTTCTTCACACTGCCAAAGATTAATCAGTTTTTTTTTTTTTTTCAACGATGTATAACTGTGTTCAACGAATAATTCGAAGTAATTAATTATCTTTAAATCTTTTTCTTAAAGCTTAAACTTTCTCAGTTTTGTCTTTATGTCCTAAATGTATTATTTCTGGTTGGTCTGATGCGGTATCTCTTCTTGGATTGTTGGGATGAGGCGAGCAGTGGGCTCATATAAGAATAAAGTTTCTGATGGATTCAGTGGCTTTCGTAATTTTAATAATTTTAAATTAGGCGGCAATAGAATCCATGATGCTTCGTGTCAACGGATTCGTTTTTTTCAGATGTGTTGAGCGTGAAGTGCGTGCTTTATACGATTTTGAAGCCGCTGAAGATAACGAATTAACATTTATGGCTGGTGATATAATTACCGTAACTGATGATTCTGATGTGAATTGGTGGCGAGGAAAATCACATCGTGGTGAAGGATTATTCCCTGCTAATTTCGTCACCTCCGAATTAAATGAACCAGAGGAAATCGTCGAAAATGGTGTTGCGACCTTTGAACCCGTTGAACCAGTATTTTTTTGTCGTTTCTTTGTCGATCAACTCTTTCTAATGGAATTTTCCAGCATATTATGTAATTATAATAGGTGCCTGTAGCGCGAATCGATGAATCAGTACTAATTGAGTGTTTGCGGCTTCTGGAAGACTGTGATCCAACCGGAGAACGACCAGATCCACCGGAATTGAATGATCTTGAATACCGGAGTTTAGCTCAAGTAATTAATTTTTATTCTTTTAAAGTTGTTTTCCATAGGATGAATAGTTAATACAGTTCTGTTTATGCAATTCTTTCATTTATTACTCGATCTTTTTTGTTTTTTTCTATTTAACAGTTGAATTTTAACTGTATCAATTTAAAGGGTCCATTAATCGATGCTCGTCTAGCTGAAATAGATAGGCAACATAATGCATTAGCCCAAGTGGATATTGCAATTCGAGACGTACTCGCTATATATGATCAAGCAGTGCAGCAGGTTCGATAGTTTCTTTCATATGCTATATTTTTTCAATCCCCTGTGCAGTTTCAAGATCGAAATAGATCAATATTTCCAAACGAGTGCACTCAAATGCAAATGTTTACATGATTGATTTTAATTTTATATTATCCATGGCAAAAATATTTTCATGTAGCTTTCAAAAAAATCTTTGGTAATAGTATTATTTATTGACGTATCATATGATTATATTTCTTTTATTCAGGTCCAGCAGCAAACAGTATTATATCCTCCTGCAGCGCAAAATCCTCAGTGGAATGCTGCACCCACGCACATGTGATTCCATTAATGGTATTTTAATAGATTTTTCATAACTTTTGTTTTAATTTCTGGATTAAACCATATTTTTCCTTTAATTTTTGATTAGTTGAATTAATTGATTAACTGATTATTTTTGATTGATAAATTTTGATTGATAAAGTGAAATTTTTCTAAGAAAGGGTTCGCTTCAAAAAAGAAATTGTGATAAATCATGGGTGGGACGTCCGCCCTATTTTCATTTGTGGATATATTTATATATATATATAGGAAAATTTTCATTTCTATAATGGTGTAAGATGTGAAAAGCACTGTTTTCGTCTAAATGGCATCTATGGGACTTATTAATTTCGAAAAGATTTTGTTTGCCGCTAAGACTTTCATCATTATTTTTCCGTATATTATTTTTCGAAGATTATTGTTTGTTTTGGAACTATTTTTAGTTCAAGTTATTTCCGGAGAATCCATTGTATATTGATTATACTTTACTTCAGTCTTAGCAAACGATATTGGTACTAATTTATTTTCGATGATATTGTCTTAATAAACATTTAAACACATCGTTTCTACATTTTTTATCTACCTATCTATCTATCTATATACACATATATAAAAGACAGTAATGAGGTTGATCATAGTGCAAAAAAGATATCAGGTCCATGGAATCTACCATATTGCGATGAAGTTTGTCCAGAAATGCCTCAGACATGTCCAACACAACTCGGGATGTCAGGCAAAAACAGCAGACAAAAAATATAAACAAATAGCTAGCATGGATAGGGATATCTTCGCTTAGACTCCCAAAACTGTATGGCAGATTCCTCTGAAAATCGCGGACAATAATAAAGCGAGGATCCCGTAGGAATTTCTCATCCAGATAAATAAATAAAAACAAATACCGGCCAACTAATTAGATATCGTCGTAATAAGCAAGATTCAAAACTGGTGATGGATATAGCACAAACAACTGGCAGGAAGAAGAAGCATGAAAAACTCGAAAAGTCCTAGAAGCTGAAAGAGAAATAGAGATGTGGGAAATGGAGACCAAAATGATTAGCAGTTGCGATACTGGAAAAAGTCTCAAATAGATTCCAGCAGATAACCGCAAAATCTTTATCCCGAAGAGTGCAGTGCTAGGAATGGCTAAGATATTGACCTTCTAGCTCCCATCTTTGATGAAGGTTATGACGTTGAAGACAATTCATACCACAATTCACATCCGATAAAAAGATATACGCTAGATATTTTATATATATACGCTTTTTTAAAGAATAAACCTCGATTATTGGTTGCAAATCTGTAATATTATTAATAGACTAAAATGCTAATTAAGCCTTCAAATTTTATTGTGAAAATAGCAACATTTTATATTTTATAATATTTTGGTAAAGAATAAAGAATAGAAATAAAGAATAGTTGATTACCGAAATCCATATTCAATATGTTTAAGAATCAAATCACCTGTGTATCAATCCATTTTAAATATTTTTCACTGCCATATTCAATCTAAAAATTTTTTTAAAAATCTAAAAATTTTTTTAAAAATTGAAAAAAATTCTTTTTGCTCTTTAAAAATTATTTGATATTTAATAAAACAAAATATTATTAATAAAAATTAAGTAAAAATATTACTGTTAAAAGCGAATAGCAATAAAGATGGAAAAAATCATATCGAGAAGAGAAAAATATTTCCGAGAATAATAACATTTTGAAAGTAAATATTGGAACGTGGTAATACACTTACTGGAGCGGCAATGAATTCAGGCACTTCGTATGGATGCAAACTAATCACTTTTTCTTTAAGCATATTAAGTGCCGATGATTTCGTTTTCATGATAAGCAACAATTCAGATTCTTCTTCCAGTTTACCTTGCCATTCATATCTGAAACAAAACTTTCAAAACAAAACTCGTAATTGGCATAAAAATTCCATGACTATGTCGTAGACTTCGCCAAGAGATGATAATGATCTCATAGTGAAAACTTCAATTTATGGCTTGGAATCCACACCTGGAACAACTTTCCAGATCCTTCCCCACTTTTAAGGGCTGCAGGCAAGGTTGAACCTAATGTGTACCTAATTCAATGGCACAGCGAGTTCCCTTAATATTTTCAAATGTATAAATCGGTCCAATTGCATAGCTAATATACTCTATCTACAACTAACTATAGATTATCTACAACTAACTGCAAAAAAGTGCAATTCTTCGAAATGCGTTTAAAATATTTTCCTGTTTCTAAAAAAAAGAACCGATTAATAGTGATAACTGATAGTGATTGCCTCTAAAAATTTTCAAAAAAATTGGTAAAATTAAGAAATTTTAAAATTAAAAAGAATACACGGATGTGATGGCTGGCACGATATTAACACATGCGGCGAGTTTCGACTTCACGACATCCCTGCAAATAATTCCGCAGTTTCTTCAAGATATTTCATAAAAATTAAACTGTGGAATTTTCTGAATCATTCTTTGCATTCATTAACAAGTAATTTTTATTAATAATAATAATTTAATAATTTTTTTATTTTTTATTTTTATTTTTATAATTCTTTTCGTTTTTATATGCAAGAAGTTAATAAAATGCCTCTTTTTGTAAATTCATTGCCGGTTGAGGAAGTGCCTGATTTCAAATACCTTGGGTCCACTCTAATATTAAATGGACAGGCAAAAGATGATATTATAACTCGGATCACGGCAGCTAGAAATGCGTTTTTCCGGTTGACGAACCTTTATGGAATCGCCGTGAAATCACCATAAAAACGAAAGTTCGCATCTATATTGCCATGATCCGTTCGATCTTATTATATGGTTCTGAGACATGGCCAATGAGAGTGGAGGATATTAAGAAGTTATCTGCCTTTGACCACTCTTGTCTAAGGTATATTTTACGGGTTCGCCGAGTGGATAAATCTCACAAGATCGCATCCACCTTCGTTCAAATACCATTTGCATAAATAATGTTATCACAGAACGCCGTCTTCGCTGGTTAGGGCACATTTTCCGTCGTCCACCACAGCAGTTGACGAATATTTCGTTATTTGCTAAACCATGTGATGGATGGCATCAAAAGCGAGGTGGGCCAATCAATACCCCGGACTGATACGGTGAGAAAAGATTTTGAACGTATAAATGGACCAGCAATATATGGACTTAGACGATGGAAAAAGGAATGGCTTCCATTACTGTCGACGATTGCATCAGATCGTGCCGCTTGGAAGCGTCTTACCCTTGTAGCCGTTGGAGCCAGCCTAACCTAAAAGTAATGGTGAGAGTTGTTAGAAGAAGAAGAAAGAATTTTTATTAATCTTCGCAAATATTTTAAATTTTATTTTCTTTATTTTAAAAATGAAAAAGATTTTAAATTCAGTCCAAGCAAAACAAAGATATTCCTCGAAATTTCCTTTTCCTCCCTAAAAATTTGAAATATTATTTCGTGATTTATAAATTTATCTAAAAATTTATCTAAAAATTTATTTATTTAAAATTTATTTATTTAAATTTATTTAAATTTATCTAAAAAAATTTATAACTTAAAGATTTATATATTTCGAAGTTTTTAAATTTTCAATAGTTTTTACTTTAATAAATCTTTTAGATTTTTGAACATTCCTTTTCCCGAAACCGAAAATCATAGAAAATTATAAATTATAGAATGAAACAATGAATTTTCAGCAGAAATTCAATATGAAAAGTCAAGGAAATAATTTTGTATAAAACGATACCCATTCTTTTTCTAATTCGGTACCGATAAGATAGCCTTAAACATTTCAATGCTTCTTCTTCTTTTTTCCTTCTCACAGCTATTCACTATTTCGATAAGAAAGTTTTTTTATCTTTTACAGATCATTTGGTACATAAACTGAAGTATAAATAAATCCTAAGCATTGAGCCGATTTCAATTTTGATGGTAGATTTACCATCATCAAACGATAATCTCAATATATATTTACATTTATAATATATTTAGGTTACCACACTAATATGGATTAGCAGTAGAATACTGGAGAGACTAATTTTAATTTTAATTAGATATTCAGCTATTTCGATGCCAACAATTTAATATTCTCTAATCAGCATGGCTTCTCCACGAGAAAATCCACTGCTTCACAAATATTCCAAGTAGTTGGCGAATCTTCTTGACTGCTCAGCATCAACTGATAATGGGAAAATAATATCAGTCGTCCACTTAGATTTGGCGATTTGTTAATGTTCTCCATAATAAATTGCTGGCCGCCATTAATAGATACCATATTACTGGTATGCAACTGGATACAGAATGACTCAGTGGGTTGTTGCTCAATTGGGAGTGCTGATGCTGCGGTTCAATTTCCCGCAGGAGTAAATCTGTACAAAAAATCCGGGTGATGCTAGCATAATGCCCAATGCGACAAGCCAGTGGAGCGAGTTTAACCAGTAATGGTGAGGACTCTATAAAAAAGAAAAACTGGATACAACGACATAAAGAACCGATGCCAACCGGTATCAATGGCTCTTTTTCAGATATGACTATAGTTGAATCAGGCGTCCCTCAAGATAATTTATAAAATTTATAATCTAGTAACCTGTAAATATATTGAGATTATCGTTTGAATGATGGTAAATGGTAGATTAGAATAGTATCGGACTATTTTTTAAAATTCAGTTCTACTATTATCTCTGTGCTGACTGAGATAAAAACTATTCATTATTCATTAACTAAAACTATTCATTAAGAAGTATTTGTTTATCATTATTCTAATGGTAGATCGGACAACCTGGCTCCACTATAAGATGACTTTAATAGAATCGCTGCTAACTAACTGTTTATGTGATAAACAAATACTTCTTCCATTAAAGAGAGAGGAAAGTATAGCTATACAGATATTCAAAAATTATTAATGTTAAGGCGAAAATCAGAACTTGGTATGATTAAGGAAGGAAACTTGATTTCGGCTTTCATTGCAGAACCATAGTACAGAAATCCTCAAGAATATAAAATTTTGTCTTTATAGGTTTAAAAATGGAACTGAAAACTTTCTTATTAAAATATACAAAGCTTTCGTTTAGCCTCTCCATAATTATAATAACCTGTTATTCTCATAGATATCGCAGATTAAAGGAGCGACCCCAGAAACTTTGTACATCGCCTCTCTCCTACTAGTAGTCTTCAATACAATAAAAACTTCAATACAACCAAGACTCACTCTCAATTCGTCGAATTAAATAAGATTTAATTTGCAAAAAATTCTGTGTGGTTATGTCAAATTAGATCATACCAAATGTCGCGAAATGAGATGTTTTTTCTAAATTCATTATTTCAAACTGATAACCCCGTTCCGCCAAAACAAAACTTTCTTCAATTTAGTTGATTCTTTGCTTATTACATTTTCATACGTCTATAAACCATTAAAGTCTTCATTAACTTACAGCTGAAAATTTTTCTCAAGAAAATTGTTCTTCTTCTTTTCTTATTGTGGAGGTATCAAGGGACATAAGCGGTTGGGTCCCAACATTTCGATATTTAACATTTTTTTGTTATTGATATCCCTTATTTATTATTTATTCATTTCTTATTTGTTTTCGAGATAGTAAGTCTTTGGAGTTAATTTGTATCGAATATCGTTTTTTCTTATCAGTATATTGTTGAGATTTAATTGCCCAAGTTTGAGGTGTGAGGTGAAGAATAAGATTTTGTTAATACGTGCAGTGGTCAACATTTCTATTACTGTCCTGATAAAGTAGCCAGAATAAAATAATAATGCGTGGCTGGCGAGTACCATTGCGCTCCTTTAATTATTATCCTACTTTATTTTTTACACGAAATATTATAATTTTCGGCACCTTTGAACTCAACAAGATCTAATGGACTAAAATCGCGCTTTTTTCATTCGCACCTTAATTACCGGAATAAGCTGCCGAATGACGTAGTTTGTGCACCGTGGTTAGTGGTGTTTTTCAAAAAAGATTAAACAATACCACTCGCAAAAACTGTTTAAAAACTTTACGAGGTTTCAGTATGCGATTGTGTGTCAGTGGCACATTCAATCCGATTTGTTATTTTGCACCTTTTTTTCTGTTATTTTCTTATACATTGCAGCTTTTGGTTATATTTCCTTCTCGTATTTTCCATCGACATCACTAATTTACTTTCACTTAGCACCTCATTTTTCTTGTTAACGCAAGCACGTGGCGCTTATCGCCTTCTCTGCTTGGCTGCTTTTCAGCGATAAACGGTCGAGCACCACCGTACGCCGTCAAACCTCGTAGCAAAATGCGTAAAGAAGAACAAACCTTGCAATTTGTTGTCCAACAGTAATGTTTGGCACTGTCACATAAACAATCGAGTACAAAGTTGTTGTTAAAGTTTTTGCCGCCATTAATTGCTTACAAAAATTTGTTGTATAAACGATTAATAAAAATATTATAGAATATTTTCCTATCGTTTTCATATATTTATTTTCTAAGAAAGACATCGCTTTTTTTAACAAATGTTGGAAAAAATTTCGTACTAATTCGCCATTAGCGCATTATTCAATTGTCACCTCTAATTCCAGAAAAAAACCACGCCGAAGTTTTATAGCACAAAACTTCGCCTAATAGCCACGACGAAATTCGCAGGTACCTCCGTGCCCATGCTAAAACGCGGCTTTTTATACCGGTATTTAACCAGGTAAATGTGGAACCGACCTTCAATTTTATTTACACTGGCAATCAATCTGGCAACTTTGGCTAAAGTTCCAGCTTTGCTTCAGCTTAAGTACCAAACTATAATTCGAATAATTCTAAAATCAACTAAAACCTGCTTAATTTGGAAGCAATAAAACAAAAAACTATTCATACGATATATAGCAAAAACTAAATAGCAGTTGGTTGGCAGTTTTTTTTCGTTTAAAAGTTTGGCCTGAGGCTGAGGAAACTTAGAGTGGAAGAGTTTGAAGCGAATTGCCAAATATTTCTTAGAGTTCGTCGATTTCGAGGAATTTCCACAAAATTATAATTTCCGCCACAAATATACCTCTCAGATTCTCTTCCAACCGCTTCCAATCAATCAATCGCATAACTCGTTCCATCGTTCATTTAACTTTATGCGCCGTAAAAGGCGGTGGCTTCGGATCGAGTAAATTGAAAACATATAAATACGTTAAATTCGAATAATTCGCTCTTGCCATAGGTCCAATCACCGTGGATCCAGAGGGATCTGAAGAGACCAATTCATTTTATGCAGGAACCGATCTTATTTAGAAAATGGCTTAAGGCTGTACTATAGATGTGCAAGGTGACGTACGCTTAAGATTAAAGTTTACGTAAAGCGTGAAACGTATGGAATATAGATTTTATTTAATGGATTTTATTTAAATTTTATATTTCTCATTTTTAATATTTCTTTTTTTTAATATTTTCGATTGTTTAAATGCATTAGAAACTAAGTAAATAAGGCAAAAAATTGTATTTTTTGTTTATTTTGCAAAATTTAATCGAAAATTTGATGGAAAAAAAGCAAATTTACCGGAATAATAATGGGAAAAAAAATTCTCGGAGTAGTTCGTGGAAATGAAAAAATGAAATAAAATATGAGAAGGGGGAATAGCAAAATTTTGTAGTGATTTCTCTTATCTGCAATCGCTAAAAGTCTCTAAACGAAATATGTGAAACGAAAAAAATGAAATGGACTAATGGAACCGATGGGTGATTGACGGTGAAATTATTGTAGCCTGAGGCGCGCCACTGAATCTCTGAAATAAAAACAGATTTGCTATTTTTGAGTTATCCTAGCGAGAGAGGCGAATGGGGACTTTCGTTCGATTACTTAGCTTATCGCATTTCCGTTTCGAGTGTTTTTTCTCATTTCTTTTCTGGATGAGCGAAAATGAGAAATGTTTGGTGGAAATCGGAATGAAACCTAATCTTTTAAATGAAATGAAAAAATTTAGTATTCATGATGATGCGCGAAAGAAATTCGGGACTTTCTGATAACAATTATCATAGAATTAGAATTATCATATAAATTAAAAACAATAAATAGAAATTCTCTTGTAAATATGCTTTTAGACTGGTTAGTTAAACCTTTCATTAATGACACATAAATGTCACATGGAAATCAAGATTTACATGCATTGCATACATTCCTTTGCGATTTCATTTGATTTGAGGAAGTGAAGCGATATATATTCCAGTCAGATGCATGTTTATATATTCTATAGAACTAAGAATATATTAATAAATTAAAACTAACTATTAAAGCTTGCTATATTTAATTATCAGTTAACTTAGTTAGTGCTCATTCTGATTTTCTAAACGGAGGGATTTTTCGAAAATAAGGCCGCATCATATTAAAGGTTCAATTGCAAAATAGGCCATGAAAATTTAGGATTTTTTGAGTCGCTAAACCAAGGAAGGCCTAAAAATGCTAGTGAGTCCACTGATGTTCTTCTTCTAGAAATTCATGGAACATAAGAAATTTTAACCATAAAATAATAATTTCTTCAACACCTAACAAATAAAATGAGAAAGAACTGGGGCAAATAACAAAATCTATTAAATCTAATACAATGATACAAAAAAATTTTTCATAGAACGATGTATAAGTGAGATTAAAGTTAACTAAAGCGATTTCTTCTTTCAGAAAGACTGCGATATTCGAGGCGCCTTTGTCGTGACGCAGTTAGACAACAACATGATAATGTGGATGCAAGTCCCGAACGAAATTCCTGATTTATGAAAAGCGAAATGAGCAATTTCGATGAAGGTCCACCGATTGCGAGCCAAACAAATACGAAATCGACTGTTGCTGAATCGGCCGGATTTAAAAACGTTTCCGGCAACACTCGCACAATAACCACTGGCAACCATGATAAACAGAATGTGATTAAAACGAAAAATGCTATAGCGAAATTGTGATCGGTTTCAAATAATGTTCGTTGACTATCCTCTAACTGAAAAACTTTTGAAAGTGTTGAAAAAAAGAAAGAAAATTCGAAAAGAAATTTTTGCTTTATTTGGCCAAGAAATGGATTTTATATAGAAAAATTTCTCAGTAATTTCGAAAAAGTGGAAAATCTGCGATTAGTTCATATTTTATTTCAGTTGAGAGCAATGCATACCATTTCCTTTGATATTAGTGAAAATGTTTTTAAAAGTGAAATTCGGTCGGTTGATGGAAATTTATCTCATTTTTACCCTCAAATGGCTCGTAAGCAAATGCTCGTCTAAAAGTCTTAGTCAGTGGTCAGTGGAGAAGGCCAAACTAGAAATGGTGCTTGAAGAATTTTGATCAGTATGACATTTGAATTATGAGCCGTACGATTTGAAAATATAATTTTCTGGATGTATCGTGAGAATAAATCCATCAGTTTACTGCATTTCTTAATTCTTAATCTTATCCAAATTTCATACTTATATTGTTTGTCTTTAAAATGGAAGCCTATATGTCCAAATAATAATGATAATAATAATAATAATAATGATAATAATAATAATAATAATAATAATAATAATAATAATAATAATAATAATAATAATAAGCCGCGCAATTTGAAATCTCTGCATTGAACGATTTTAATTATTTGCATATATATCATAATACTGAAAATAGCGGAAGCGCGAAAAAATTCAACCGGAAAAATATTTTTACGCAGCAAATCATATATAGAAAATTTTTAATATATTTATTAATAGGTATTAATAGATATTAATTTGAAGTAATTACTAACTCGATCAATATTTTTGATAGCCATAATTATGGAAAAGTAGGTGAAGATAATAGTACAAACTGATGGCAGTAGTATTAGAACAGCGAGTGTCATACTGTATGCAGCTGTTGCTGACCAGTCGAGTATGCATAATTCCGCTGGCCGATAATATGAGACCTGAAACAAGATTTTGAGTGGGTAAATCTACCATTTAAAAGATTAAGCGCAGCTGAAAGTCTAATTGTTCATTCTCCTAAGTGATTTTCTGGCTGAACTATCGCCTTTCTCACATGGAATTCTTAGCCACTTGACGAATTTCAATGCGTTAATTTTTGCCTTAATCAGTTATTTTCTTGCGAATTTTTTAAAAATTAAATTTGCTTGATATTAAGCGGCCTACACTGCGGCGCTCAAGTTTGTCAAATATCCCTGAATCCTTGCAATTAATGAAATTTTCATCATTTCGCTGTCTTCCTTGACGTGTTTTTGCGCTTAGGCTGAGCGAATACGATGAAAAGATAGATTCAAGAAACCCTCGGCAACAAGCATTAAATCAAATATATATTTGGTAATAAATCAATTTATTTATTAAAATTTTCTCTTTTTTCAAATCTTTTGTGGCACATTTAATCGAAAAAATATTTTTATTCTTATTAATATTTTATTTTTATGGCAATTTGCTTGCTAATAATTGGCCATTGAATATCAATAAATCGTTTTTTCCGATAAAATTTTCGCATTCTTTTGTCTTAGAATACGTTTTCTTATAGCGTTTGAAATTATTTATAATAATTTGAATGAATTTATTAAATAAATGATAAATTGAAAGGTTTCTCATATTCTTTAAGACGCATTAATTTAACATTTAGCGAAATTTACGGCGGTTGAAGCAATATGCTCGAGTCGTTCGAATTAAAACCTAAAGCATGAGAGAGATTCCGCTGCATGAATTGTTTGATTAATATTGACTGCTTTACGAGCGAATTTGTTGTAGGCAAATTTCGACGAAGTTTTACTCGTATTTAGCAAAAAATAAGAGAATCGCTGAGAATTTTAATTAAAAAATAATCGGATTATCGCTATCAGATCGTTTAAAGCAATGAATAATAAAAACGAGATCGTGTGATTTTCTTTCAAAAAATATTTAAGATTTTTTTTTTTTTTTCAAAAATTTGATCGACTAAAAAGAAAATTTTTGAAAATCGTTGAGAAAACTCGGAAAATTTGTCATTCGTTGCCACAAAAAAAACGAGTAATTTTTCGAATGATTTTTGAATGACGTAAAAACGTTTGGAACGATTATTTCATAGGAAAATAATCTGTCAAACTAAAAAAAAACTTCTATGTGAGTATTCTATGAAAATGAAAGAAAAATCAATTTTCCACATTTTTTAGTTTTGTTGTACATGTCGGAAATTAGTGCATCAAATTTTTCTGAGCCGCTCATCACATTTCTTGTAGCAGTCTCTGACTTAACCAGTAAATGAACTCCAAATTTCATGGATCTACGAAATGAAATGGATTTACCTAATCTGTTCTAAATTCTTACTTACCAACTTTATCATTTATCATTCTTTGAGCCCATTATTTTAATATAAATACTATCGAGTTCCCTATCTGTCAAAAAAACTGTGACTAGCGATTCTCTGGTGAAGAAGTCAAATCGTAATAATGAGTGAGAAAGTCAAATCGTTGGCGGTCACAATTTCTGGTTACGCTTGCTGCACTCATTTTTTGATGGAAGTACAGATGAATCGACATCTAGCAACACATCTCGATAATCATAGATTTACTCCAGGTCGAAGGAAAAAACCAAAATTTATTAACTCAGTAATAAGCAATAGCCAGTTGATACAAGCAAGCCGAAAGTGGAGAGTATTAGAAGAAGAGGAACATTCGCTATTCGCTATTACTCTAATTTCTATTGAAATCATTTGTAAATTTCTTGAAATTTTTACTTTACATGATCTCTTAAACGTGGTAATTTTAAACCTTCTTAAGTAAAGAACAAACCCTCATTCGAGCGACAATAATTGGTAACGAGAGTAAAATGGCTGTTAACCAGCTGAAGGCAATCCAGCATTTGCACCTCGTTAATGTTTGTTCGGTTTCATATCTGCAATAACCAAAAATATAAATACTATAGAAAATATCGAATATAGCAAATATCAAATGCTCTTTATTTCTGTTATCTTTAAAAAATAATTCGTTTTTGCTTATTTTAAATAATAAAGATATTGTAAAGGAAATTATATGCTCATTTCCTGTTCCTAGTGAGAATAAATTTATCGTTGAAAGTGAAACGCGCTTGTCGCCTATGTTTGCATTTTGTTTATAGCGAACGAGAGCTTTCCTCCTAATTGCCAATGAAATTAGCCAAACGAGAAATGGTGACTGCTGTTTGTAGAGGGTTATTTACAATAAAGGAAGGAAGGATTTGTGTTGGATAATAACTTTTAAAATTATTCTTCGAAATTAAACGAAAATAACTAAAAAAAAAAAAGCGTAAAACTCATAGATGCAACTTTATTTGAGCTGAATATTACAAATCATAATCATAATCAAAATCACAAATCTAAATTTCTTCAATTAAAGTTAACGATAAATGATGCGCGAAATGATTTCGGAAAATCCTCGCTGAACATGAAAATTACATTAATTTTCATGAAACCTATTGCGAACAGTAAAATTTTTTTTTATTTTAATTGCAAAAATTACGCAATAAGTAATGTGGTTTTTGAAATAATTTAATTTAATTTATTTGGGCGAAGCAATATTTTTTATCAAAATTTTCTTTGAAATTTTTTTTCAAAATTTCAAAATTTAGAAATTTTCTTAAAATTTCAAATAGTAAATGTCCATTAAATTTTTAGAATGCATTATCCATAATTTGTAACCATCTTGCAAATTTCAGATTATCGCATCTCAAATTTCAAAATAACAGAAAAGTAGTAATGCGAAGGAATTTATTAGAATAAACAGAAATTCGAATTAAACTTGATTTTTTAAAGATTATTTAATATTTTCTGGGCAAAGATAGGTGAAAAATCGGCAAGTCATAAGCCATTAAATTTAGACTGTTAAAAAACCAATAAAAATCACTATCTCATATAAATTTATTTTTAAAATTTATTTAATTTATTTTAAGTTCTTAAATATTATTATTTGATTTATGGAGTGATATCTCATTCGAGGTTGGTTGCAAGTAAGACGGATTTGATTTCAGTCCCCTGGCACAAATAAATTTGGCATTAAAAATGAAATTAAGATGGCGTGGACATTCTGTTCTCAAATGGATAGTGCAGTCACTATTTGAAACGGACGGTTTTAGAAGAAGGTGTAAGAATGCATTCAAGCCAAAATGAAAGCCGTATTATGCTATTTCTTGGGTATGAACCGAATCACAGTCATTCAGATCCACTGTAACAGCATACAGCATCTTTAGTTTGACCGAATCGGATTTGCATCACAACAATAAAATAGTTATTATCAATAATCATTATTAAAATAGAGTACCCAAAATGTTAAATATATTTTCATGATCACAGCTTGTTTCTCAAACTAATGACGTCGACCATTTTACAATTAGAATAATTTAACATTTATAAAATGCATTTAAATTCTGTTATCATATCATATCATATCATATCAGCGTTGGTATATTTTTCTGTTCGAAATTCATAGTTTGCGAGAATAAAAATTTAACGCACTACTTTAAATTGATTTGCTTCGAAAGTTTTAAATAATAAACAGGTAAAAATGGGAATAAATTTGCCTCGAATGATTTGCTAATTAAAATATTTTGCAGACGAAATACGAAGGTTCAAAGAACGATAGACAAATAATCGAGAAGCGCGAAAAATCGAAGGACAACAGAAAAATGCTTGGGAAGTATGAAAAAAAAGGGCAAAGTCAATATGAAATTTCAGATAAGCCTAAAATATTTTGAAATAAATCGCATCGAAAGTCGTTTCTTAAAATTCTTTTATAAATCTTTTAATAAAGATAATTTTCATGATGAACTAACTATGTATATAAATTGATGAAAAAGAAGGACCTTTGGGGTTTCATAAGTGCTGCATATCGATCAACACCAATCCACGCAAATGTATAGGCAGTATTTGCGAATAAGGCAACTTCAACATAAACCGAACATTTGCATAACAAAGAATTATCTCCCATAAATTGCCAATCAGGTACCAAGGCGCTATACATACTGGTCGGTATAATCACCACAGAGCACACCAAATCCACCGTTGATAATGAAATCTAAAAAAAAATTTTTTTACAATTTTTTACTGATAGTTATCAATGCTCTTTGACTTTAATTGGCTTAATTGGTAATGTCTTAATTGACTAATGATTGATTTATGAGGCCCTAATCATTTCTATCATTTCTATCATAAAAAAGTAAAAATGCATCGAGCAAGAACTGCGAAAGAGAATCTCGAGAAATTTACGATCGTCTGTTAATTGCGATAAAACAATAATGTCTTCGTGACAGCAAGAACAGCGAGAAATAAAGATGAAAATTAACTAAGCTAAATACGAAAAATTGGATATTATCTGGAAAACTTTACACGTGAAACCTTTCAATCAATTTGAAAAGCGAGATTTTGACATATTTCAGTAAATTTTAAAAGTTTTTTTTAGCGAAAATTTAATATTAGAATTTCAGATAAATAAATTTTATAGCAAAGAAAAAGTTCCGTAAGTTGAAAGATTCGGCGAGGAGGAAAAGTCGTCGGACAGTGGAGACAGTGTTTCCCTCATAAATCCAACAAACAAAATATATTTTGTAGATTTTAAATATATTATATTATAAATTATATATTATAAATATATTATTTATATATAAAAAATATATTATTTAAAATATATAAATATATATTTAATATATATTTATATATTTTAAATATATCTTATAGGTTAAAGTGTGGCAATTGAATTAAATCGTGTGAATCCAAGAAAAGTATTGCATCCAACAACCTTTAGCCACTACGCTTACAGCCACTCGTTTCTTTTCATTTTTTTCAAAGAGTCATACTGGTTAAACTCGCTCCGCTGGCTTGTCGCACTGGACAAATATGCCAGGAAGTCCCTTGGCAATAGAAATTGCAGGTGAATCGCCAGCATCGCCCGGATTTTTGGACAGATTTACTCCTGTGAGGAATCGAACCTCAGCATCGGCTCTCCGAATTGAGCATCGACACACTGAGCCATTCTATCTTCTCATCGCTATAGCCTTAATTAATTCTTTCTTTTCTCTTTAATATATATTTGTGCAGCAATATTAATATTAAACATAATTGTAATTGCCATTCAAAATCAGTATTAGTCGCTAAAATTTTTTCAGCACATTTTCAGTCGGATTATTTATGAAATTTAGAAAATCAAAAATCAGAAAATTAAAAGAATATTCATCTATTTAGTGTTCATCGTTGATCGTTTATTCCATGATTACTTGGTTTATTTTCCAATTTTTTTCAATATTCGAGAAGAGCAAACAGTTTATTGCGATGACATCATTTTATTATTGGCCTTGATTATCGCCTAAGGCCATTTAATGTAAATAAATAATATTATTCTTTTCACATTTCACATTTTATTTACATCAACTGGGCTGCAGTTGAAGTAGATTGGCAGAAAAAAAATTCTTTTTTAAGAGAAAAAACGTTTTATTTTGAAGCGAACAAAATTTTAATAATATGAATTTTTCATTATCAATTAAATATATTAATTTTTGCACGAAAAAAGTAATTATTGGATCTTTTTGAAGGAAAAACGTCATTTAAAATTTCTATTTTCTTATTTTATAAACCAATTAAGCATAAATGCAAATGAAAATGGCATAATTTAAAAGAATTTGACAAAAAATTTATCGAAAGAAAGGAAATTTCAAATTTTGAAAGAAATTTTAGAATTTAAAAGACTGGAAAATATGAAAAGATGCTTTTTTCAAAACCATAATCCAAGCATTATAACCTATTAGAAACTAATGGCTAAATGGTTAAACATGCAATTCCCAACATGCAATTAAGATTTCGTAGAGCAAGTAAGCTATTATCAGTCCAAGCATGAAGCATCACTGCTCGTCTCCTATTCTTTGACGATGGTAAACCTTGTCACCAAAAGTCGCAGTTAGTGCTGAAGGCCCCTCGTATTTTTCTTTATCTCTTTCACTTTTTGTGAAAAAAAAAAGATTCTCAAGAATATTGAAATAAAATTTAATGGTTAATGGGCAAATGAATTGTTTTCATTTATAAAAAAAAACAGATGTAAAAATAAATGCATTTTCCACGATCATAAAGAAAAAAAAAGATGGATTTTTAGACATAACGCAATTTAAAAACTTCTTTATTCACCCGAAATACCTGAATCGATCACTATTCCGGAAACCTTTTCTTCGTGTTCAGTTACGCATTCATTCAAAAGGAACAGATTAACCGAGTGGATAGTGGTTCAGGCTCAGGTCTAACCAGAAACAAGAAATAATTCGAAGACTTACGAAGAAATTCATTTAGTTCATTGCCTATCGTAGAAGAACGGCTTAATTTTGAAAAGTGTGAATTAATTTTCGATAATTCATTTTTCATTTCAAAGCTTTTGCTCATTATGAAAATTAGTTTTGGATTTTCGATTGATGAAATATTTATATGCTTATGTTTATTATTAGTAAATAGTTATGTCAAACTCTCTTAAACGAAATCACTTTTTCTATTTATGAAAGAAAAAAAAGTGCCAAGAGATAAATTATGGATGGCACGAAGTTATTTAAAATTCTCTGTTAAGTTTTTTTTTTCAAATTTTTAAAATGAAATTAAAATTTTTATTTTAAAATTTTAAATGAAAAATATAATTAAATATTTTATTATGCATACACTTATCGGGGAAAAGTTTAAGTTTAAGCGAGAAGTTCGAACTTCCTTCTCTTTCAACTTTTTTCCAGAATTTTTAAATTCTTTTATAAATAAAAAAGTAAAATTATTTAAAATTATTTTAATTAACTAATTAACTAATGACCACTTCTTACCATATAATATCCAATAACATCGTGTAGAGCTTCATTACACAACGTGACACAGATGGAAATAACTGCCGAGAAAATAAGTAAAATACCCACTGATAAGATTACTGCCGCTTTTGCTAATGCTTCTGCCGTTAAGCTCGATGGATCTATCATTGGCATTTCACACCTAAATTCATATAATTATTCATTTTAAACAGAATCACTTGGTAGTTGATTTTTATTCGTGGTTGATTTTTAGAATAAATTTATAAATTTGCTACCAAATTTCACTTGCCAAAATCGGTATGCAGAAATAATTTTGACTTTGTTAAACTTGTAGAAAAGCTTTATGTGCAATTAGAATGCAATTAGCGAGATTATCCGTGAAATAATGAAGAGAACGACTTGGTGCTAAATTAATTAGCTCATAATTTACAAGCAATGAGATATCAGATTCAACAAAAAAAAAAATAATAATAGCAGCTAGAATAGCAGCCAATTATTTGAGTAAAACAAGCGAGCGATTTATCTAATCTATCTAAAACGAAAATTATGCTAAATTTAATAAAATTTTTATATAAATTTAATTTTCAAGGATGAATTATAGTGAAATGTTTGATTCAATCATTACATATCCAATTTATTATCCATTTAAATAAGAATAATGAAATTAATTTAAAAAATTAGATGAATGAAGAAAAGAACCATAGCAAAGAAGAAATGCAACAGAAATTTGCAAAATAGCGAAAATCTGAAAATCTCAAAATTTTCAGTTCAATAAATTAGAATACATAAAAGAATTAAATATTACTGCAATGAAGATAGGTTCGAATAGCCGAGTGGTCTTTGAACCCACACGAGCACTAAATTGCCACTAAAAAAATCCGAGCTAGCTATACACCTCTACTTCGACCGAGAAGTGGCTTCGCAGCAAAAATTACTACTAACAGCCAATGAAGCGAAGCTAATCAAAAGTGATAAGCGCTAACCACATTTTTCTTTTTCAAGAAATATTGAAAATATAATTATTGTATTAAATTTGTTTATAAGCTGGAAAAAATCGGAAAAATCGAGGAATCGAGGAAAAAATAATGGTTCGAAGTAAAGTTTTAAATTATTGACGTTGAAAAGTTTGATGAAGAGGCGCAACAAAAAAAAAAGAATAAAAGAAGAAAGTTTCTTTGAAGTGCAAAGTTTTTACAGAAAATATTTCCAACGATTTTTAAATCTATCATAATTAATAATAAAAATTTTCGATAAATATCGTATTTCTACCCCACTTTTGTATCCTTCTAATAGCATTTATCATTTCTGCTTTGGCTGCTTCTACTGTTTGTTAAGATGAGACTGGTTCATCCAAAAGTCATGTGGGGATGAACTATGCGTATGTACCACAATACTAACCAGGTTCATCCGTATGGGGAACTATAATCTCGTTCATAGGTTTTCAAATTGGAAGACTTATTATAGAGAAAAAAAGGAATGGACGTATAAAATCTTGCAATTAAATATTTAATATGCTTTAGTAGATATAATTTTTAGTGAATATTTAATATGATTCAGCAAGCAATCTCATAATTAATATTCATATTTCTTTTTTATTTTTAGTTTTTTTTACTTTTCTAAATTTTTTATAATATTCTCAGATCACTAAGAAATACGATTAGATGGATCCACAAAGAATCTTTATTGCAGATACTATCATATCATATCATATCATATCAGTTTCCATCTATCATAAAATGAAAATAAAATATATTCTAAAAGGTTTAAGCATGCCATATTAAAATGCCTAAATCAGAGCAAAAAATCTTCATTTGTCACTATCAAAATTATTTTCGAAAATAAAAAATTCGAATATTTTTACTACCCAAAATCCCTTATCGTCATTTATAAAAAGTTCCACGAATTGTTTCTAAATAAATTTTTTCTATTATCACCTTAGCTTTTTTATTCGAATGTAATATTCATTTTTAGCGAATATTTTTACTTAAATAATTATTTCGCCAAATTTAAGCAAATAGAAATCGTCGACTAATTTCTTTGCAACAATGTAATCAAAGCGTTTTAGTGGACGACATTAAATTGGCATACAACTAAATAAATTATCATTAACATATCAAATAGTGATGAAAAATGGAAAAGGAAAATACCTGAAGCGGCGTCAATTTTCTTCATACTTATTGAAATAGACTAAAGCATCATTTTGATATTTTATCACACAAGTCGATCGTTGTTGTTGTCGCTTCTTATCGCAATTCGAATTGAAACACCATAAGAGAAGAGAAACATCGGCGAGCTCTCATGAAAATCTTCTTTACTATTAATGAATATTCGAATTGTTTACTTTACTTTTGCAGTACAGCACAAATATATAAAATTATAGATATTAATACATATAAAATATATATTTATATATACAAATATATATATTGGATTTGTGAGTGTTTCACCAGAATCCAAAAACGAGTTAAATACGAGGATGGAAAATGAGAGATTGTGAGTCGAGCATTTCATCCATACAAATCAATACATATTCCACAAATGCTCCTCCATTTCAACTGGCTTCTAGCTTCTGTATCGATTCTATCGTTAAAATAAAATTTCACACCTGCTAAATTCTCAGTGAATATTATTATTGTTATTTAAAATACTTAAAAATGACAAAATTCACAAATTCATTTCTTATCTATTATCACTTATAAACTCTTATCATCACTTGAAATTTTATCTTACTCGTTTTTTAATAGAATCATTTCTGATTTCTCACAGAATGAATGAAATCTCATTCGCAGAAGAAATATAAGAAATATTTAAGACAAATATGGATCCATTTTTGATGTCAATATTATTAATAGGGAGGCAGAATAACCTACAGTGGTTCATCGTGCTGAATTTACACCTAGCTCCTATGCTCGACAAAAAACCAGCTGAAATGGAGGAGCATCTGTGGAATAGAGTAAATCTGTCATAAACAAGGGTAATGCTGGTTAGTGCTTCCATCGCCAAATGCCTCCTTGGCAAAAATTTCTGATCGTATCGTTAGCCATGAGAGCGAGCTTTATCACGAATGGTGAGCGCTAACCATTTACTAATTTATTGTTAATTGTTTTATCAGCTTTATCAATTGTTTTCATTTTTTTTCATCAAATAATAAGCAATAAATTTTACAAAGAAAACGAATATTTTTGCTCGATTATTTTGAAAATTGCCATGAATTCAGCGAATTAAAAGGAAGTAAATATGAAAATAAAGAAGAAAAATTAAAAAGATGCAAATAGAAGAAAGTTTATAAGAAACAATTCCGATAACATGTTTGTCACATAAATTTCCTTGTGGATTTGAATAATGTCCAATGGATTATAAGAATTTTAATCCATTTGTAAAAACATGAAATTTGTCGTATTCGATTTAATGAAATCAAAAAATTTATGCAATAAATTATAATTTCCTTTGTTTGGTTCTCCTTTATTTAATATCCAATAAAATAAAATAATGCATTTCACAAATATAAAACCCAATTATTACGCAATAATTTATTATTCTATAAATGAAATGCGAAGCGAAGGATTTTGACCTTATTTTATATTATTTCACGTTGAGCTCATTTGGCTTTTTAATCTGCTTGGACTTGTGTGGAATTAATTTAAAAAACCTATAAAATTATCGAAATCCAAGAGAAATTCGCTTATGAAGAAAGCGCGAATATGCGCGAATCACCTACCGTACAATTATTAAAGGCAATTATTTATACAATTTATTTATATAAAATATATATTTATATTTAAAATATATATAAAATATATATTTATAAAATGTAAAATATATTTTTATATTTATTTACATAAAATTCACAATGCAATAATAAAAAAATGTTTATAAAAAACAACTAAAATTTTCAGATAGTTTCGAGAAAAAATATTAGGATTTATGGAAAAAATTCTCCTTTTTCCATATATTTCATGTATATATTGCTTTGTTTAATAAATATTTTCAATCGCTTAAAATTGTGAAAGAAATAGAAATATGGAAAAGCACGATAAGTTAACTTTTTTTATGCCATTTCACTATTATTTGATAGACCAAATCTGCCATCGAAATCGAAAAAATGGCCCTTCGGAGTGGATAAATCCGCCATCGAAATTGGAAATCAGGTAGTACCTTGGAATCGACAAATCCGCCATTGAAATAGGAAAGCAGATGGTGCGTCGGATCCATAAGTCGAGCCTCGGATCCATAATATTCTTTTCTTGGAAAGTTGGAAAGAATTTAAAAAGAAATATACAAAAAGTAAATAGTAAGTAAATAACGGTGTGTTTGCTTGTTTAAATTATATGGCAATCGTTTGCCTCTCAAATCCTTTAATTATTTCTTTTTTGCTAATTTTTTTCCAGCGAAACGATTAAATGATTCAATTTTGCGGGACATTAGAAATGCGAAAACTAATGTAAATTTAGAATTACACAAATTTTATGGCGTATTTTTTGCCGAATTTCTAAAGCAACAAAAATCAACGAAAAGAAGACTTCATTTATAGGTGGACGGTCAGCATCTCTCGCATTCGTTTATTACAGACCCATTCCTTTGGCTCAAATGAGTTGAGCAGCCTGTGCCACGTTAATCTAAGCCACTCGGCTATCCTACCACCCCCCCTACCGCCCCCCAAATATAAATATATATGCACATAGTTATTGATCTATAATTCTTCTTTTTTTTTACTGACGAATGAACCTTTATTACAAATAATAAAAAATTGGAAAATAGAGAAAATATCATTTCAACTGAATTTCAGTTGAAATTCATGGAAACCACCAATTATTGCAAAAAATTAATAGAAAAATGAATAACTTAGGAAATATTATTCTTCAAGAAGATAATAATCGATCTTCGAAAGAATATTTCCCTTAATTCACAAATAAAAGTTTTAGTAAATATTCTTATAAGCGATTTTCCAGAATTATCACTTTTTTAATGGAATAAAAAAAATTATAAAATGAGAATCTTCTATGAATATCACGCAGATCTTCTTGCAACATAACGTACCGTTCTTGCACCAACTGGATCCACGGTGAAATAGAAACAACATTGGGGATTGGAATTATTTAGGAATGAGACCATGCGAATCTCGAGACTAACAAGAACTGAGCCTCGATATAAGCAAATTGCTTATTTCCTAAAAAAAAACGTTCAATTATTTAAAATAAAAAATTCAGCCATTTCTGGTTAAATTTTCTGGCTGTATAGCAAAAATTTTCGCCACGAAAAACAAAGTTTATAAATAAAATAGAAAATAAAAAAAATATTTATTTTAACCACTTTCTTCTGAACGATTGTTTTTTTGACTATTTTCTTCGATGACTATTTATCATTTTTTTTTTTTTTTATTATCAAGATTAATTTTAGACTCTTTTGAAAATAGCAGTGCATTTCCCTTGAGACAGATAATTCTACGAAATTTATTCTACGATCAATAAATATCTTTGGAACACCAAGAATATTTAATTCGCAAAAAATGATATAATTATATAAGTCATTATCGGCGTTTCCACTTAAAAAGAAGTAATAGTAATGATAATAATAGTAATAATAACGGTGATAAAAATAGTGATAATAATACTAAAATATAAATATCTTCTGAACTAGGAAACTTATAATGAAATAGAAAAAAATCACTTTTATAAAGCTAAAAAAAGTAAAACTTAATAAAAAATATTTTATTTGTAGAAATTCTCTTAGATTTTTATTTTTATTTGATTTTATTCAATCGTTTTTACCTCATTCTCATTCATAATTCAAACCTTCACAAAGAAACTGAACAATGAAATCTACAACAAAGAATAATCATTATGAAGATTCTAATTCTATTTCCTAATTTTTTCATCTTTAAAAATGTTCCAGCAGAAACGCTTTTTTTCTAATATACAACGTAATGAAATCAACAATGCTTTGGAGCACAAAACCGCTTTAATGAGTTGAAATTTTTAAGGTAACAGTTAATATTGTTTATCTCTAAATTGTTTTTGGTGCCATAAATTCAAAAAATTTAATTGTTCGCGTTAAAAGTAATTTCACTGAGATGAGATTGTGGTAATGATATCTCAGGCACACATCTCAGAACACATTAAAATTTAAAAACATATCTAAGTTTAGACTGTGGAAACAGTAATTTACATAAAATAGTAATTTAAATTTTTTTCTGACGTTTTTCAAATGATAAATTAAAAAAAAAATACTAAAAAAGATATAAAAAAGATATAACTATTAACAAAATAAGGCATTGCGATAAAGATTCACGACCAATGTAAAAATTAATTGTAAAATTATATTCAGGGCAAAAGAGCTAAGGCTTTATTTGAACTAATTCTATCTAGCCTAAGTGCCTGTGCTAACAAATGCTGCAGTTCTTCACTTATTTGATCAAGCATCGACGAACTGAGTATAACTGTTCGAGTTTCGGAGTCGAAATTCAATCTCATTTGTATAGATACAGAAGGATACTTATGCAAAGTCATCCGGCCGATCTGAAAAACAAAGAACTGTTAGATTTATTATTTTCTGGAATAATTATTTTGAGAAGTAAGGCTTCGAAATTTTATAATTGTATATATAATAATGATATGTAAGCTGGATGGAAGAAAAAAAAATGAAATGAAGTACTCACAGAAATTTGAAATCGACATGATATCGAGCGCAAAACAGGGTACTGCGATAAAGATCCACGACCAATGTGTTCTATTATCAAAATACGCTCGCAAATGAAATTAGTTAAAATATTAGCAACTTCTTCATTGAAACCAAAACCAGCGAATATCGTAGAGAGTTCGGTAGGACTACACTAAAGATTAAAATAAATGGAAAAAAAAAACACTTCAACACTAAATTCATGAAAAAATGCTATTGATAAAAGAAACGAAAATCAAAGTTATTATTCGTAAACCGTTTCTTTGCCCACGAGTTGATGAAGGCGAATTAAAGAATAGAATGCTGGACATAAAACCGAAAATGAAACATTGATGTCGTCTGAAAAAATTCAAAATCTGTTCTCAAAACAAAATCTTTTCTTGAACATTAATTTTTTATCAACATTACTTGTAAATTGATCAAATAATCAAATATATATTGATCACTCATAGTGAATAATTTAAAAGTTATTCCATATCAAAGGGATAAGCAAAGGAGGATAAACCAAATGCGGAACAAGTCGGCCGATTAAGAAAAAAGCCTTCTTTAATTTTGCGAGCCTAGCTTCTGGTGATTGAAAATTAGCGAACTCTTCATTAATTGGAAATAAACAAGTGAAAAGAAAACAAAGAGAATAGTAGGAGTTAGTTACTAAATAAAAAAAGAAAAGGAAGCTGTCTATTTAAAAAACTAAAAAACTAAATATCTAAAAAAAGTATCTAAAAAAAGTATGAATTTTTGACGGTGATAATGGGTTTCTGATTTGGATAACTAAACAAGTAACAAAGTAAGTACCTGCTAACTTTTTAATAGAAGAAACTTGCAATTCTGATTCAATGCCATTTAATGCTTCTGTTGCTATCATCTTAAACACTAAAAATAGATGGATGGATGAAAATCAATTTAAATACTAAAAATATTTAAGAGGATGGTGGTTACTATAGACATATCAGGTTTATCTCAGCCGAAATCAAACAGCATAAATTTGATTTCTGCTCCTTAACGGGACGGTCAAGAGTGAAATCCACGTGGCCAGTCCAAGCTCTATTCGTTTATCGCCACCTGTCTCTACGATGAAATAGCCCTATAGTGCTTTATAGAGAGCCAGCTGAATCAGAAATATAGAAAGCTATTAGAAGAAGAAGAAAATCTCAAGAAACAAACCTTTATGCGGATCATTGACGGAATTAAGCCAAAGTAGAGAAGACGCTATCGTTTTCAGTTGGTCCATATCAAGTTTTAAGAAATTTGCCATTTTAACTGACCGATAAAACCTCGTAAAAATTATAGAACTTTTTTTAATATTTTCCAAAATAAAAAACTGCAGTTCCAAATTCTGCTTATATAAAGTGACTCCGAACTGAAATTCCCTGAACTATAGTTTTTCAACTGCTTTCAGAAAATATTCCAGATTTTGAATAGTACATCTGCGCTGCATTATAGTACCTCAACCGAAGATTAGTTTAAACACTAAAAATCAGTATCGAGTAATCTTGCAGCCTCTCCTCGAACTGCTAACATATCTGCCAGTAACTCACCGGTTTTGAGATTTATTTCATAAGCGTTGTTGTTTATGTATGCATGAATGAAGTGTTCTGCTGCAATTTTTACGTAGCCTAGAACCCCGTTACTGAAGTGACCCTTTCCTTAATTCTCAACTGCCATTACTTTTTGGCGAGGAGCGGTTAATTCGCCGTCAGCGGCTACAATTCGGCGGCGAAGGTCGCTTGTTTGTCCTCGGCAAAACTTATTCATTAGGGAGGAACTAATGCGTGCAATAGCAAAAGTGAAATATTATAAAAAGTAGCGATAAATTAGGTTGGATTGTTAGTGAGGAAATAGTATGCTAAGGGTGGAGGATTTTATGAGTAAATTTTTAGGAATGGTGGAAAAGAAAGGAAAAAGCGATTTGCCTCCCGCATTTCGTGGATGTCCAACCGTTTATTTCAAATTGTTTTTTATTGTTTTAAAAATTTACTGTTATTTCTTTTATGAGTTGATGGAGAGGAAGCTAGTGCACCATTAGGTAAATTATTCTGCTAAAAACACTGCACTGGTTTCTTACTTCGATCCTTAGGTGAGAATTAATCGATCGTAAAGGTGAAATACGGATGGGTGGGAAACCACTTTAGTTTTATTTCCGAGCGCTTTTCTGAGACAATGGAACGCAATTGGAAATGGTGAATTCCAGTGATAGCACGAATTAAGAAGTTTGGACTATTTATTTTTTCATAATATTACTTCAGCCTGCGAGTCATTCTTAGTCCATTTTTCGATGAGTTCGAGCTTTGGCTTTCAGATGGCTTTCGGTCTTTGAACCGGAATTAAAGGTTTTAATGTAATTTAAATTTAGATATTACCATTATGATATCTGAATTTTTCGATCTCACTGGTTAATTGTTCGTTTGGATATGTCGAAAGTTGAAATTTCTAATTTCGATTCGAATTGTCAAAATCCAGTTACTATTTCGGCTTCGAAAGTGAGTGGATTATTTTCAGATTTTCACTTCGTTCTTCTTAAAGATCTTAGAAGTATGGCCGCAAAATTTTCTGTCTTTAAGATTATAGAATCCTAACTTTTTAAAATCTCAAATTGCCTTATTTGTGCAGATTTCTGGAGAAGTCAGGAGAAATTTGCATTTCATCTAATTTTTATAAGTTCTTCAATTTTTCGTTAATGCTGAATTTTTCATCTGTTTGTTCGAAATTACTATTTTCTTATTATTATTATAATATCATTATTACCGTTATTTTTTTTTATTAAGTATATTTGTAATAGTAATATTAAATAGATAAATTGTTACAAATTATTAAATTATTACTTTATTATTAAATAATAATATAACAAATGACATTAAGTATGTTGTAAAAATATATTATATCAAATATATTATAAATATTATATCAAATGTATTATAAAATATAAAGAACATTTTTTTGTAAATCTCGATTTTCTAACTTTTTTTTTGGTTTTTGAAAAAATAAATATTTATTTACAATATAAATCGTACAATATAATATCTCAAATATATCAATAATTAAAAAAAAAAGCAAAATTTTTTATTTTTTTCAACAACTTTTTTTATAACTTTGATAGAAATTCTTTTAAAAATTCTAAAAGCGTAATTTTTTAGTATTCATTATGGAACTACATTGATCCTGTAATCGAAATTTTCGACCACTATGCGGTTTTTTGTGATAGTGTTTTTTCGTTTATAGCACATTCTATCGTACGGTTACATGAAGCAATATATACGGCACGTTCACCATCAGATATTTTTTCCAGTTTTATTCATTACGTGTTTTCATTCACTATTTCTCTTATTTTTTCAATTTTTAGCGCAATACTTTACTTGTTCACTTTACCATTTCGTTATCTTATCACTGTTGCTATTGATCATCCATTTATTGCGACATTTTTATTTCTTATCATTCTAATGATAAGTATTACTTTTTTGTTCATTTTTAAATATTTACTAATAATAAGTTATTTCCGAAAACTTATGAAAATTCTTTCTCCTATTATTGGTTTTTTGATTACTTTTTTCTTTCCTCAAGTGAATTATGTGATAAGCGTCGTTATTCTTCTATTTCTTCCATTTAAAGCTATTCCAAATTTTCTTTCTCAATTTATTCAATGTTTTTATTCGATATTTTCGGCGAAAAATTGGCGGAAAGGTTTTATAAAAACAAAAAATGGAAGAAATTCATTGATGACAAGTGAACGAATGCTGTGCTGTATTTGTTTTTCAAATGAAAAATCTGTTCTTTTTCAACCGTGTAATCATATTTGCCTTTGTACCGAATGTGCCACCAAATTAATTACTTCAACGGCACCAAATTGCCCTATTTGTCGAGCTCGTATTACTTCATATATTGATGTATATATCTAAGATTTTTTGTATAATATCACTCATTTTTTTTCGAAAAAATTATTAAAAGAATGCAACATATATAAGCAATTTAATTTTCGTCACATCGAACTATGATTTCGTAGATTTCGCAGGCTCGAATTCTACGAACGTCGCATTTTTACTTCTCTTATTTTGCAATCTTTTGCAGAATTCGAATTTCTTTTATTTTGGGAAAAGTGCTATAAAACTTAAAAGTAATGAAATTTTAAATAAATATTATATATACGTTTCACTTTATGAATGCATTATAGCTAATAAAACGAGATTTCATGCAATCAAGATCGAGCGATTGATGATTACGTTTTCTTACGAATTTATTCAGCGAAACTTTCACCTTTCCTCCGGCAAACATGAAAATTTCATGTTTTAAATTTGATTTGATTATTGGGGATAAATTTCTATTGGATGAAAAAATTGAAAGCTCAAACAGCAAAGTTTAAAAGTGGAACCATAAAAGAAATAATTGCCAGCTCTATTGTAAAATGCCTTAATATATTGCAAGAACTTTCTAAGAAACTCCACATTTAACTGTTGTTTCTGTTTAGTCCTTTGTCAAACCAATAATAGATTTGCCGAAATTTACTGCCATTATAAACAATATTATCAATATTAATACTGTTTTTGTGGTAGGATATTCTATCTTTTCAGTTACAATTGAACTCAGAAACTAAGTTAGGCAATGTATCAAATAAACCAACCGAAATAGATATTTATTCTTGGATGGCATATAATTATAATTATATAATATAATTATATACAATTGTAAATAAAGATTTCCATTTTATTTTTTTAGATTAAAAGTGCTTAAAAAATTCAGAGAAATCTCGAAAAAAAAAGTATGCCAAATTAAAAATATAAGAAAGAAATATAAAATACAAAAAAATATAAAAAATTTTAATCAGAAGGTTAAATGCACCTTTTTCTTATCATAGCAGTCGCTGTCTTTGAGCCATTCAATCGATTCAGCTTCGTACAAATCCATTCTCCAACTTCGATAAGCGAATCAAGATCCACACCCTAAAATAATACAAAATCGAAATAAGCAAAAAAAGTTTTAAATCGCTAGGATTTTTACCTTTATTTTCCTAATTTACGATATACGTACCACAGCTTTTTTTGTTAAATCAACGTAGGGTTAAAGTATATTTATACAAAACGATTAATTTTATATTTTTACCGATTTCAAAGCCTCAATAAGCCAGTCATAGTTTGTAAATATAACAGAATTCAAGAAAAAAGATGTCGATAAAAGATTTACGGTGTTAACGCCTAAATCATTCAGCATGTAAATTAAGTCTTCAGTAGCCATATTTCCACTGGCACCTTTAGCATACGGGCATCCACCGAGTCCAGCTATGCTACTATCTGCGATGCGAATCCCTCTCTTTAAAATATGTTATTATTATTGCCGCAATTCAATGAAATTATCGAAAATAAATCAGGTAATAAAAGAAAATTAATTAAATAAAACAACCATAATTTCAAAAACAGAAAAAAAAAACCGAAAACTGTGAAAACCTCGATGGAAGTAAGAACATTTGCCAGTGCTTGACCATAAGTATCATGAAAATGAACAGCTAATGATTCAACTGGCAAATTATTGAGTAGCGAATTTAACAGCCGATTTACGCTGCCTGCACTACCGACTCCAATTGTGTCGCCAAGACTAACTGAAATATTTAACTAATCTCACATTAATGGTATAAATCATTGATTTCCAAATTCCACGAAAATTTCAAGAGGGTGGATGAAAAATATTGGAAACTCAACAAGATAATTCAGAAAAAAAATACCTCAGAAATATAATTTTATTCGATATTTCTTACCTTCGTAGCACCCGACTCTGAGAAGTTCTTCAGCGATTCGGAGAACAGATGCTGGTTTTACCGGACCATCATATGGGCATCCGATGACACAAGAAATATATCCACGCACCTTAATGCCCAATTTTATTGCTTCTGATGCAATATCGCATGATCGCTTCAAGGCTTCTTCAGTCGAAGAGTTTGTATTCTTTCTGTGGTAAACAAGAAATTAATTGATAAGCTGAAAGAATATTAACGTGAAATAAAGGTGAAATATGCAATATACCTGGAAAAAGATTCAGAAGCAGCGGTTATGACTGCGATTTCTTTTACACAACCAGTTGCCATCTAAAAAAATTCAGCCATATAAAATACTAAAAATAGAAAATAATAAAAAGAAAAATGATTCTAATAATAATAAAAGTGTGCAATTTTTTGAAATAAGTGCAGGCTGCACGCATTCAATTCCCATTCTACGACAGGAGAAAAGCTGTCAAAGCTCCAAGAAGTGGATGCACCCAAATGCATTGCTAATTCTGAGCGACTCCAAGCAAAACCTACGTTTAATATAAGATTTTTTTAAAAGATATTTGACAGAAATTGAAAAAAAAGAAAAATCAACCGCATTGTTGAAGCCAATTAAGTTTGGCACTAAAACTGGATATGAAACTCCAGGTAACCTTTGAATACCATTAACAACATCTATCTGGTCGGACATCTGAAATAATAAAATGAACCGAAATAGGAAAACAACGAAATTTATAAATAACCAAGCCAAATTCGAAAAAGCTTACCTGAGGTACCCATTTCGGAGAGACGAAACTTGTCGCTTCAACTTCTCGAAGTCCGCAATTCGCTAGTCTTTCAATAAGCTCTATTTTTATCGCAGTGGGTACCAATGACTAAATATTCGCGATAATCACGAGTACGCTATATGAAAACGTTGGATCTATGCTAACAATGCGTATAATCCTATTTGCACGTGGCCTTTAAACTGAGGCAGCCAAAGAGAATATGCTCAGATAGCCAATTTTAATTATTGTAGCCACTTCCGGAAAATAATTAAGCAGTTAAAAATCAAATCAAATTGGAACTTCGTCATCCGTTCGCCTGCTGAACTACCGCATGCAAACGACTGGGTCTTAGTTTTTGCCTAAAGTTTTTTGATTAATGTCGTAAGTGCCGACTAATAGGCGAGCAACTGGCCAAGGCTATATGCAAGATACAACAACATATTCAACCAATTTAATCGATATATGATAATACGAGGAACCTTTTCATTTTGTAGACCATCGCGAGCTCCAACTTCTACTACTTTGAAATCTTTCGCTGAATCCTGTAATGCGCACAACATGTTGTTGTAGAGCCAATAAGAAAGGAAATTATTCGTGCTTGGGGAGAATTTAACCCTTGACCCCTCATCGTTTGAGTCGAGCAAGAGGGTCCGACCTTTCACCCTTAACTTTTTGGTCCTTGGCCTTACTTCAGGAAAAAAAACCAAAGTATTTACATTATATTTTTCGAAAGTATCGACATAAATTGGCACACCTGATCAATAAATCGTGTTGAAATGCGTGAAACAATATTAACAATGTTTCTCGAGTAAATCTTCATAGATCCTTGATAACATATCATTCAGAAAAGCAAGCCTTTAGACTTTACAAAACAGCTGATAAAAAAGAGGAACCGTAATTTAAAGTTCGGCATTTTCCGAACAATCCGAATATGAACAGAAGTTGCCGAAAAATTTTAGTTGACTTTGGTTTTGATTTTAGGTGTTCGTCGAATTATTTTCCGGGGGTTTGGCTAATGGTTCTTCTTTTGGGTCGTTTTTGTATTATTTGGATCTATTCATTTATTTTTTAGGTCTCTAAGCATTAATAGAACATATTTCTCCAACTGAAACTTTTCATCATGGTGTTTGGTAGAAATTTGAAAAATAGGAAAATTTTCTATTTTTTTCGGCATTCTTTTGCACTTCATTTGTTTATTCTCCTATTTAATATAATAGAACAGTTACTTTTCATTTGAAAAATATCTGCTTATTGGGGCTTCCTTCTTATCTGATAGTGGAGGATAGTGCACAGTTGTGCACCTTCTTCTGCTTCTTGCTCATTCCTCTTTTTTTTCTGCTAGCAAATTTACAAAACAGATGGTGAATTAAATTAGACCCATAGCCAGACCTGTTGTCAAGTTTTCTTCCACCTACTCTCTAAGTGATACCATAAAAATTCAGTCTCCACTAATATCCATTGAACGCATTTCAAACGTATTAAATCTTTCTATTGAAGGATTTTGAATGAATGTGTAGTAATAAATGTAAAAAAAAACTGACTTAAATAATCATTAAACTCTGTATTGTTTGTTTTATCCAAATCTTTACTCGTGCATTCCAAAAATTTTAGGCATTATGGCATTTAATTTCAATCGTTTGGTGCCTTTATCATTGCTCAAAATTCAATTTTTCTAATTACTTTACTTCTATCAGCTGATTTTGGAAACTTAATTCAGTTATTTTAACTGCAATCTTTTATTGTTTTTTGTTCATTGATATTTTTCGTGATTATAATTATTTACATAATTTTTTAAATAATTTTTCAAAAAGATATTTGAAGAGCCAATATGGTTAAAGCGGAAGCATTGGCTGAAATAAGGGAGAAGAAAGCTGCAAATCATATGCGAGAATTGAAAATCCAGAAATTATGTCTCAATATTTGCGTCGGTGAATCCGGAGATCGACTTACACGTGCTGCTAAGGTTCATTTAATTTATTTATGGCTCTATAGTTAAAACTTGGAATTTTAGACTTAGTTGTGAGGTTTTCCAGTGTGGCAGTTTTGTTTCCTTATATGATTGGAACGAATTAGATGTACGCCTCAGGTTTATTAATATTGTCGTATATTAATTCATGTTAATTTAATATTCTAAGAATTTTTATGGAAATTTATTTTTCTTGCTTGGATTCTTTTTGGAAAGTTATGATAGGATTTATTATTATCAATCATATTTAATTATTAAAACAATTATTAAGATAACTGTAAACAATATTTTATTATTTTATTCCTTATTTACTGATTTATTCAGATAATCATCAAGTTTACTTATTAATTTTATAATTTAGAAGTTTCATTAAAGGTTTTGGAACAACTAACGAATCAAACGCCTGTTTTCTCGAAGGCCAGATATACCGTTCGATCATTTGGTATACGGCGTAATGAAAAAATTGCTGTGCATTGCACGGTGCGAGGACCGAAAGCAGAAGAAATTATTGAACGCGGATTAAAGGTTATTTTAAAAAGTCTAGAATGATTTTCATAAGTTCATTATTTTTCTACTTTGCAAATATTTTTTCTTTTCAAAATCATCTCAGAATAGAATATTCCACAAATCCTCCCGCGATTTCTTTGTTTCATTTTTTGACGTTTCTTCGAATATTTGAGGATTTATTAGGAAGTTTTTTTTTCGTTTGGAAAAGCTTTTATCTTCCTTTTACATATTTTCTTTTTTTTAAGGTTAAGGAATACGAGTTATATCGGGAGAATTTCTCAAACACTGGCAATTTTGGTTTTGGCATTCAAGAACATATCGATTTGGGGATAAAATACGACCCATCGATCGGTATATATGGTATGGATTTCTATGTTGTATTAGGACGAGCTGGATCTCGTGTAGCAAAACGTAAACGCGCTCGAGGAAGAGTTGGCCACTCACATCGTGTTGAAAGAGAAGAGGCTGTAAAGTGGTTCCAACAAAAGGTAGAATTGTTTTGGCTTATTTCCCCTTTAATAATGGTTAAATGATGAAAGAGTAGTTTTTAAAAATTTACAATTTATGATTTTTTAATGGTATTTTTTTCTTTTATTAGTTTTCAATTATGAGCAGTTTGAATATTTTTTGAAATTTAGCTTAATTTGCTTAATAAAATAAATTTAGTATGATGGAATAATTTTACCACCAAAAGTGAAAGAATTACGTCGTGGCGGAAGAAGACGTTAACCTATGTTTAATCTTTTTTCTTTTGTTTGTTTTCTATTGATAAAAGTTTTGACTTTTTTCATTTATTGAATAAATGCCAGATTGTTAGTTCCAGAATTTTCAGAATTTCCAGAAAAAAGTAAATATTTAGTTTCAGCAAAATGAATAAACCTTGGCAAGACATATGGATTAAAGTTATCAATTTTATGAAATGCTCTGCGAAAATTTTTGAGAATTTATAGGGTAAAAAAGTAAAATTTGTAAGGAAACGCTCTGCTAAGTTTTACTTGATATGTTGATTTATTTATTGTATAAAAAAATTGTATTTACAATATATCAGCAATCTCAATGAAAGAATTTCGTCAAATTATTCTCCAACTGCTGATTAAATGAGCATAATATTTTGATTAATTAAGAATAAAATATTATGTTCATGCATTAAAAATATGTAAAATTTGATTACAATCAAATCTAAAGCAAAACTAAAGGTCTAACAAAATAATTTATATGAGATAAAGTACAAGTGAACATTTATTCGCTATTAAATATATTTTGTCTAAAATTAAAGTTAATTATAGCCGAATGTATAAACGAAACGGTGAAAACGAGTTTTCCGCTAAACCCTGGATGTTAATATTTACAAATTTGATGAAATCTGAAATCTAAAATGAATTTCGAAAAATATAAAAACTTGGAAACTTGAAATCCTTATTAATGCAATTTCTATGGCAATAGGTTTTCCTTCAGATTAATGTTCAGGAATTTGCACTTCCTTTTTCATTTTCATTTTCAACCTTAAGTTGGCGCCCAAGATATTCCCAGTTGTGAACCATCATCTTTTGTACAGCTAATAAAGCATGATAACGTACATTTGGGTCATCGGCTGATAATAGCTTCATAACAGCCTGTTTTCCTTGCAATTGTTCAATCTTACTGAAAATGGAAAGTTTCAAATTACTTTGTTAATAAATTTATTCAGATTTTTCTGCTAGGATTTGCCCACTTCCCACTTCTTAATTTTCAAGTTAATTTTTGTTTTACTATTTATTTAAAAACAAAAGAAAACTAAAAACTGTGACGAAGAAATGGTTCCAACTTGATTCTATGAAATTTAACTGGATTTTTTTTTAAGAGAACTCACCATTACTGGTTAGACTCGCTTTTCCGGCTTGTCGCACTAGGCAAATATGCCAGGGAGTCCCTTGACAATAGAAGTACGGGTGAGTCGCCAGCATCACCCGGATAGATTTACTTCTGCAAGGACCTCAAATCGACGCTCCAAATTGGGCAATAACCCACTGAGCTTTCTTTGCCGACAATATTACTTTCAAATTTTTAAATTAAAAATTTTAAAAACCAATTCGGAAGTTCAGAAGTTTTCCGCTGCTAATCCAGTAAAAATAAAAAGGAAACAATCTGTACATCTTCAGAACAATAAATCTTACCAGAAGTATTGCTATTCATTTCTCAATCACCAGAAGTTGTAACAAAAAAAATTATATGATATTGTGGAAAATATTGTAAAAATTCGCTTACTTTTTTCCATGAGGATAATGGCGAATATATTCACCAATATCGTGCGCTGCTACGCAAAGGATTAGACTATCTGTTTGCACTTCTAATATTTTGATCAGAGTCCTATTAAATTAAATTTTATTCAATTTTAAAATTATAATTCCAATTATTTGATGTTTTTTTGAATAAAATTTTGGTAAAGGTTATACAATCATTTAAGACAAGAAGAACGATAAAAATTACTTTACAAGTTCAGAATCTTTCTCATTGAACCTTTGAGCATTTTCTCGCCAAAATTTATCAGATTTATGAACTGGACTCCACTGTAATCTTCCAGATTTGAGCTATAAATTTGATATTCTTTATTTCCTATGAATATAATGAAAACATATAGCAATGATAATAAAAGAAACCATGAAGCGGATTTATAAATAAATAAATATCAGAAAATACACCATACTTCAGCTACATATTCGTCAAATGATGATAAATCCTGAACATATATATGCAATTTTTCGCACAGAAACTCAATATCTTCTTGCAACTCTGGATCATCGAATTTCTTAGCATCCATTAATTCTAGAGTTTTCAATGTTTTATACTGAACCATCTGCAAAGCAGACTCTCTAACCAAATCACTGTCCTCAATCTTTTCCAAAACATTACGGAATGTAGCCAAGATAATGCGAATAACCTGCAAAAAAGCAAATTTTTAATCGTCATTTATCTAAATGCGCAAGAAAAGATAAGAAAAGTAGAATTTCAAATTAAAAAATTAACTTTTTCTTTACTTGATTCCGATAGGATATCAGCTAAAAATTGTATTGCACCACTTAATGGTATTTGTTCCGCGATTGATGAATTAAATGTCAAACACCATAGAGAGAAAATCAACTGATATTGCAGCTGGAAATTCGCTTTACCGCTTAGTGTTGATAAAATGCTGAAATCATCTATTTATTTCAATAATAAAAGCATAAAAGTAACAAAATGAATTATGAATAAAAATTCAATTAAGGTAATGATGAAGAAAAAACGAAAGACAAAAAATTAACCTTGCAATGCCATCCATAGATACAAAAGCATGACGATATTCATCTATACGCAACATCATTTGCAAAGATCTAGCTGTCGTGTTAATGTAATCATTACCAGGTGTCCTCAACTGTTCTTTCAAAAAAGCGAAATAATAATTTAAATCAGAACCATCCAACAAAGTTGAACCAAAACAAGCCAGTTTAGCGATTATGGAAGACATCTTAAAACCTCTCAAATAAAAAAATATCAAAAAGACTAAAACCATATGCAGATCCGTCCTACTGATTACAAACTATCAATTATCGTATATTGCCTTTTACAGAAAAATAGACAGAGAAAAAGTAGGCTAAAACATCTATGCTTAAAGAATTAAACGAAGAATGGCTTATGTTTTAGCATAAGCAGCTTTTATTTAAAAACGATTTCAAAATCATGAAATGAAAATGAAGCATGAAACAAATCGACTCGAGTTTTATCCTCCTAATTATATTATATTAATCGAATTCAAAATTATTCAAAATCCTAAAATCAAAGAAAAATCAAAGAGGAAATAATGAAGTAAATCAGATCGCCAAAACACCGAAATAATATTTAAAAAGTGTTTTACTAACCTGATTTACAATAAAACTATCTTGCCGTTGTAAAATACCAAGAAACCACGACCAAATCGTTCGCTTTTGCTTTTTTGCAAAAGCATGAAACAAATCGACTCGAGTTTTATCCTCCTAATTATATTATGTTAATCGAATTCAAAATTAATCAAAATCCTAAATACATTCCGTCGAATATGATCAAATTTTTATAATTTCAAAAAATATTCATATTTAAAATCTTTCCTATCTATAATATTTAAAAACTGACAAACCTGTAACATATCATCCAGCACTGTAAGAACATATCTTACATTCTGATCCTTAGCAACAGTTGTAATAAAGTTGATCATAGTTCGCGCACACTGATTTTTATTTGATTCTAGTAAAGTATCTCGGTCTTGTTTTGATTTTGTTGCTTCATAAGCGGTTATAAAATTATAATCTTCTTGCGCTATCATTTGACTCCTTGAATGTAAACGATAAAAATATTTCTCTAAAAAATACTCAAAAGTTTCAAAATTTCAAACATCCAAAAGATTTTTTCACATTTTTTCTCAAGAAATATATTTAAAAGAAGCATTAAAAAAAGAAACTTTCCTTTCCAATGAAAAGATTTTAACAGCCTCTGAATTAGCCAAAAAACTTTGAAAAATCTAAGAAAAAAAATTTCGAAAATATTCAAAGAATGAAAAGACAAAGATTTGTGACATTTGGAGGAGCGTATTTAAAATGTTTAGAATGTTTGAGAATTTAGAATGTATGGAAAATTTAATGCAAATGTTTCAGTAAAAAAATTAAATGAACAATTGAAAAAATATTCTTTATCTTTAAATCAAACAATCAAACAAAAATATTTAAAAATGTTAACCTTAGATAAGAGTTCCAATTGGGTTTATTGCTTCGAATTTCTGCTGCTTCAAGTTGCAATTTACTTGTTGCATTAATCATATCAACAGATGGTAATGAATGCGAAACATCAGACTGATTCGACATTTTTCCTAAAAAAATTTGAAAATTTGCAAATAATATATAAAACATTATACGACTTCTTACTATTCTTCTTTCTCTGTATGTAACAAAAAAAAAAAAAAAAACATATATTTATAACAAAATGAATAACAATAAAATGAAAAAAATGAAAAAATAAAAAATAGATTAATAAAATAAAATCGTTGAAAAAAAAATTTACAAAATTGTTTAAAAAAATGGAAAAAAGCGAAAATTACAAGAAACAAAAAGAAAAAAGAATAATGGCCTTCATAAGATAATTATAATTTTATTTTATCGTAGGAATTCGTTAGGCACTTTTCGGTTATGCAGACACCCCTTTATATTTAACCTCTTGCACTACCGCAATATTTCCTTAATAAATGAGGACTCTTCACACAATAGAAAAGCACCATTTTATTTGTTAACCAGATAAACAAAGTAAAAATTCTAATCGAATAAATGCGATGGTGCGAAAAATTCGGAACATAAACAATGTCTTGACCCTATCTAACTGAACAACTCCACTCGGACTATTTGCAAAGTAGCCTATGGTACCACAAAGCAACCAATGAATGACCGTGACAATACCAATAAATTTCTAAAATCACCGAATAGTTCGGGATTAGACCAGAGATGAGTGATCAGAAGATTCGTTTTAAGACCCATTTTTTTGAATTTTAACAGGCTTGCTTTTTTTCAGTAAATCTGTTATATACAATTCGTTATTGCAGATTGCTCAGCGGTGCGAACGAGTATTTTGTGATTCATTTCCACTATTTATTTTTTTCCGATGAAAGGTGACCGGATTAATTGGTTTATTTTTTGACTTTATTTTTGTCTTTTTGATTGATCTGTTTTGATTCGGGTTGAGCTGCTTTTGATTTGTTTATTTAGTTAATGAACTGTTTTTATTTTAATTTATTAAATCTTTAGGTTATACATTCATCGTATGTCGTCTCGGTTATTTTTTAAAAGATGTTTGATAAACTTATCATTTTAGCGATTATTTCATATTCAATCGCTTTCCAATTAAATAATTTTTTAAATTACGGTTAGTTTTTCTTTTAAATTTCTTCGGTTTTTCTTTTTTTTCTTAATTTTTTTATCACTTTTATCAAAAACTCATTTAATTTAATTTATTTGGTAAATAATTTTTTAAATTACGGTTAGTTTTTCCTTTTAAATTTCTTCGGTTTTTCTTTTTTTTCTTAATTTTTTTATCAGTTTTATCAAAAACTCATTTAATTTAATTTATTTGGAGAAAATTAAGCAATTCTAAGAACCCATATCTATTTAAACTTGCTTGCCTAGTTTCTGTTACGCTTAGGAATTTTCGTTATGGAACCACGCTGCAATAGAATTACCAGTTATCAGCCGGAAAATTAAATAATACTAATAAGTAAAGCCGTTATTAAGTGATTTATACTAATAAGAAAATCATGGCTCATTTACTCCTGCAGATGGCTTCAAATAATTTGAAACCATTATTTCGTTTTATTTTAGAATTTAGAATTTTTATTTTAGAATTTAGAATTTAACTAAATTTTTAGAAGAATTTAGTTTAATTCGACTCATTTACTACAATAGATAAATAGTTAAATGCACAGCAAATTTTTCTCTTCTAATTTTAGGTTAAGAAATTGTCTTTTAGGAAACTAATTTATGGGAATTAGGAATGAAAAATTAGGATAGTAGTTTTTTCTTCTTTTTCGAAGAGAATTTTTGGCTTGCGTATCTCCACTTTTTGATTGTTTTTTTACCAGAGAATCATTCAGTCGTAGAGGGATAAATGGATCTCCAGAATTTTGCTTTTAATATGAGATTTACTTTTGTCGAGGAATACAAGCGAGAAGAAAAGGAAAATAAAAAAATTCGCTGCTTTATTAGTTTGAACCAAAATACCAATTAATGAAGGTAAACTTTGTCATTTTCAAAATGAATATTTTTCAGGAAATATTGAATCATTGCATGAAAAATTGCGGAATTATGAAGTGATAAAAATTTCACGACGATTGGAGAAACGAGGAGCAAATTTAAGTCCATTTGGTTATAATAGGCAAGAACATGTCACTTTTCGGTTAGTACTTCTTCATTTGTCGTTGTCTTATTAAAAAATATATGATCTTATCACTATACTATTTCAGTGAATTCAATGTCATATCCATTAGTTCGAAAGATTTTAATTTATTTTAATTTATTTTAGCGCATTTAATCATCGTTTCGATTTATATTTAACTCCAAAAAAGGCAATTCTTCATCCGAATTTCTCAGCTCGGACTGTGAATGCTTTCGGACATGAAGGACGGTTTTATGTTGATCCTGAAGAACACTTTGAAGGTCACGTTCATGGTACTTGTTTTATTTGATAGTTAAGCCGTAAACAGAATAATCTCTTAAAATTTTAAATTTCAGTATCTAGATGGAAAACTTATTTAGAATAATCGAATAATAGCGCTTTTTATCATTAGATAGATTAGAAAAAAATTATAAACAAAATTTTTTAGGATTTATTTAGTGTAAAATAAAATAATAAAATAAAGAAAGTATACATATTTTAAAGGCGAAAAACATTCAAGAGTTTCGGTGACATTTGACGAATTTGGTGCGATGTTGGGTGCAATTCGAGTTAATGGTGAAATATATATTTTCGAGCCTGTCAGATTTTATGATGTAATTTTTGCTCTTTTTTTATTTATCGCACCAAATTCTTTATTGATTTATTTTTTTATTTTGATTTTTTAGGTCTTCTTTCTTAATTGCTAGATAATATTATTTATTTAAGTCAATTTTTTTTGTTCATTTTTAGGATTTTTTTGACGAAAACTAGCGATTTGGTTTTGCAGAATGAAAGAGAAGCAAATGAAGTTCTGGTCTATCGTGATTCGGATATGAGATCAAAATTCACTACCAATGGTTTAAAATTTTGCAAGGCGATTCAGTTTAATTCTTCATTTGATTCCGTTTCTTCAGTTTTCAAGCGTCATAAAAGATCTGAGCAGTCATTATTCTCCAAAAACCGGTGAATGTTATATGCTTTTTCTTGTTGAAGATGGTTCTTCAAAATTTTCAAAATGATTTTTACAAATCAAATTAGTTTGGACGAAATTATGATTAGATCCGATTTAAACCGATTCATTTTAAGTTTTTTGGGATTTTAACCTTCTAAATTTATTTTTAAATTAATATTTTTGAATTATTTGCGAGAATTTTCTATATTTTAAGGTGTTCATTGCGATTAGTCGCTGATTATAGATTTTTTCAATCAGTTGGCAATGGCAGTTTGGCTTTTTCAGCAAGATATTTGGTAGGTAATTTTTTTTTTGACAATTTTCATAACGAAAAACAAATGACTAAACGAAATTTTGTTTTTCGATTTATTTTATTGCTTATTTTTTATTTTCGATTTATTTTATTTTATAGTCGTTATCGAATTTCTTATATTAATAACTATTGACAGATAAATGTAATAGATCGAGTCAATGTATTATACACTTCAACGGAATGGGGCCAAGATGATGATGGCCGTCGTCTTATTAATATGGGTTTTATGATAAAAGATATGCTAATACATAATGAAAGTACATATGGACCAATTGAACATTATAATGCCGCAACAAATATGAAGCGCAATGTTAACAAACTTCTTGAAGTTCATTTTACTTATTGCTACTTTGTTATTTTCTTTATTTATTTACTTTTATGTTATTACTTAGTATCATTACTATAACATTATTATTACTTACTATTTTCATTTTTTCAATTTTTTTCAGTTTTATTTTATTAACCACTATTTCAGTAATATTATTTATATTTCGTATTCATTTCGTTGATTTCCTTTTATTGAATAATTTTTTTAAAAATTAATTTCAGGATTTTTCTCATCGGCAAGGCTCAAACGAATATTGCTTAGTGCATTTATTCACTGCTCAGGCATTTGAAGACGGTGTTCTTGGTCTTGGTTATATTTCATCACCTGAAATACATTCTCCTGGTGGAATTTGTTCCATTATGGTATATTTTTTTTAAAATTTATCTATTCATTTGTTCTATTTATTCTGCTTACATTGGACTGTAATTTTTTAATGCAGAAATATTTTATAGAGTCGATCATCCAACGACAAAATCGTCTTTTATAACACAGCATTGTCAAGTGTTAAAACAATGCATGGCGGTTCAGTTGTTACACGGGAGGCAGATATCGTTACAGCTCATGGTATTTTTTCATTTTTAAAAGAAATAAGTAAAAAATATGAATCATTGAATTTTTTTGAATTTTTCCTGAATTTTTTAAGATCGTTTGAAAAGGATTTTATTCTGTCGCTTTTTCATTTTTTTTTCAGAATTCTTATTTTATGTTTTTATGCTTACTTTTAATGTAAATTTTTCAATGATTGTATCAGCCTTCAGAATTGGGTCATAATTGGGGCGCCACTCATGATGATGAATCTTTGGAATGTTCACCTCCGTACAGTGAAGGTGGATCATATATAATGAATACCTATTCTGTTTCTGGTTACGATGATAATAATGATGTAGGTTGGCTTTTATTTGAAATTGATTTATGAGCAAAAATTCACTGCTTGAATTTTTTTAGCGTTTCTCGCCTTGTTCGAAACGAATGATAGCTAAAGTTTTATCTCGAAAAGCGGAAAGATGTTTTGAAGAAGAAAAAGGTGCTTTTTGTGGCAATAACAAAATTGAAAATGATTCATATGGTTCATATGAAGAATGTGACGTTGGCGGTCGACTGTCAGGCATTGATGATAAGTATGATTTTGATAAATATTTTACAAAATAAAATTTCGCCAAATCTTAAATTTTTTTAATGTAAATATTATAAAAATATTTTGTTATTTAACCATAGCCATAAAAATAGAAAATTTTCAAATTCACATTTTTTAAAAGATGAGACAAGCTTTTTAAATTCTGTTATTTCATTAGATGTTGTACCTGGGATTGTCGACTCAAACCTAAAGCTAAATGCTCGCCGAAAAATTTCCCATGTTGCTCTGAAGATTGTCAATTTCTGCCGAATACAAGCCTGTGCCTTCATGAAAATCCTTTACAGTGCAAACTCTCTTCGTATTGCACGTTAATTTTAAAATTTTTTTTCAATATTTGGGTTTGCACTTATTTTTTGATTACTGGTTGGATTAATTTCTAATTCTTCGTGTTTTTTTTTGCTTTTTAGTATTCTATATTAAAAAAGGAAAAATGCTGTAAGATATGATAATTCTTAAAATAAAATATATGTGGTTTATCTTTTCATTTTCTGTTTCTTTAAAAATTTGTTCCCATTTAATTTTCATATCTTTTTGTCTTTCATCTTGACATCTTTCATTTTCTTATCACATTATAATTTCAGTGGTACATCTGGTGAATGTCCAGAACCGAAATCGATTGCTGATGGAACAAGATGCTTAGAAGATGGTGAATGTTTAAATGGACAGTGCCTTACTTTCTGCGAACGTCCTTCTTTAAATATGAAACCATGTATTTGTCATAATGGTACCTATATTTTACTTATGCTTTCGAAATATGATATGATTTTTTATTAGAGATTATTTATTATCAATTGAAATAAATAAACGAATAAAAATTATGTTTTATTCAGAAGCCGATTCGTGTTTGCGTTGCTGCCGGTCGGAAAACGGAACTTGTCAGCCATATGATTATGATCCAAAATATATATTAAAAGATGGAACACGATGTATTCATGGCTACTGCCGTAATGTCAGTAAGATTAACTAATTCTCATTATTTCAATGTTTTAAATTTCGAGAACTGTTTCACTGTTTATATTTTTTAACTCTAGGCAATATGTGTAAAAGAAGTGGCTGATGTTATTTCTCATTTTTGGAATATTATCGACAATATAGATGAAACAAATTTTTGTTAGTAAATTTCATTTAATAAAATGATATCTTTTACATAGAATAAATATAGATAAATAAAGCTATTTTATAAAAAAGTTTAGTCTGAAAATTTCTCGCATTTGTGTTAATTATTAATATAACGAATTATGTATTTTCTTATCAACTAAATAATTTTAAATTATATTTGCAGGGAAATTTGTTGAAGATAATCTTGTTGGTATTATCACTATAGTAACACTAATTTTTTGGATTCCTGTCAGTGTTTTCATTCACCATATAGTTAGTATTCATTATTCATTATCCAATATTTTTCCGAGATATTTTTCATGATACTATACTAACTTCACTTAACTTTACTGGTTTCAGGATAAAAAACGCTTGAAAAAAATCGAGGAATTCATAAACAATCGTATAGAAGTTGTCCCAGAACCGATTAGCGATAACATTAATTATCTCGCTATCAATCCGCCTTCATAAATTTTTAATTTTATCGATGAAGCCATTGCTTTAAAGAATTTAATCGTTTTCAGTTTTGTTTGGTTTTTTTGTTGTAATTTTTCCTTATATGCTTTAAATTATTTTTCAGTTTCAATCATTTTTCAATTATTTATTTTTCAATTTCTTAGTTTTTTATCTGATTGATTTAACAGTTTTAGCTCATAATTTATGATCCCATGATTCCTTTTCTTTTCTTTAATTATTTCTAAGTCTTCAGCTGCCATATTTTATTTTTTGTGTCTTTTTTGATTATTTTTCTAGTTTTTTAATTTCTTAATTTATTTCTTTCATCTTTTCATATATAACTGTGATATTGTTTCTATTATTAATGTTTACTTAATTTGCTGTTTTCGCGAAATATTTTCATTAAATTTTATAATATTCATGGCATTTCAAATGAGGTATGCCAAGTAAATAGTGGCTCAAATTATCGAGTTGAAAGGCAAGGAATTCGGTTTCTGCCTCATAAATATGTCATTAAAAATTCTTCGGGTAATCTATTTGTATTTCTATCACCAAGTGACCTATTAAAATATTTTAATCGTATTAACTAATAGCCAGCAGAACAAGCATAGTGAAAGTAATGAACACTTTACTTACACTGTTTGGGATTCTTTTAATTTTAATAATATTGATTATAAATTATTTCAATTTATTTCGTTTTCAATTATTTCAGTTTCTATTAATTTGAATGAAAAAAATTCAATTTTTTTAAATTAATTTTTTTTTAAATCAAAAAAAAAACCATGTAAGGATTTTCTAGTTTTTATAAAAGTAATGCAGAAAACCTTAATTTAATAAAATTTTTTTTCCCCCTAACTTATTATTACCGCGAGCAATATCGCTTTTCCGAAGGTGCTCTAAATCTGGAGATAATGCAAACGTGGAGATGTTCGGTGATCCAAACGTGGAGGAACGTGTTAAGCAATCCAAACCTGGTATCTCATTCTTTTCAATCTTTTATTTCTCGAATTTTATTTCATTTAATGAGGAACATTTCTTCAATTTTTTCAATATCACTTGATATATTTGCTATTTGCATATTTGAATATTGAAAAAAATAAAACTAGAAATGGATGATTCTATAAAATTAATGATTATATAAATTATATAAATAATTTAATAATTTCATCTCTTAAAACCTATTGTTTATTGCTAACTAATTTTAATTATCTATGACGATTCATATTTAAAAAATTTGTTGAGAAGCTCTTCACATTTCTTATGTCCGAAATGCACAGCGTCGTCCGTTGGTGTTCTACCGTAACGATCTTGTGGTTCTAAAAGTTGTCGTTTTTATCGATTTATCACTAATTATTATTATAAAAATATAAATTATATATATATATATATATGTTTAAATAATTGAGCAATAATTTAAATAATAATATATAAATAATAAAATAATAATATTATATATATTTTTTTAAAGAGTCCTCACTATTATTGGTTAAACTTGCTCCATTGGCTTATCGCACTGGGCAATATGCCAGAGGTTCCCTTGGAGATAGAAATACAAGTGGGTCGCTAGCATAGATCACCCGGATTTTGTACAGATTTACTCGTGCGAAGAATCGAACCTCAGCATCGGCGCTCCCAATTGAGTAACAACCTACTGAGCCACTCTCTCTTATTTATATATATATATATATATAATTATGTATATGTATATAAATAAATATATAAAATATATAAATATATAAATGATATATATATATATATATATAATTGAGCATCAAAATAATCGAATGATAATCGAATAATCGTTATGCATTGAATCGAAACTGACCTGTTACTTCATTCCATTTTTTCAGTAGGAATTTTAGAATATTTTCATTACCTTCGGATGCAGCGACATGCAATACGGTTCGATCGTCATAATCACGTTCCATGATATTAACACCCAATAATATATATCTTAAAAAAACGATGAAATCTATTCCCACAACGTTTTTTTCCCACAACGGCATGCATCGTTTCTTGTTTGGCTATGGCTTTAAATTTAAGCTTATTCAACGGACACAACCGTAAACTAACCGCAAACTGAAAAATTAAATAGCCTGGGGAACAAAAATTTCGAGGAAAAAGTGACTTACCTTTGCAAAGCGGGTACATCGCCAGCTCTTATTGCATACATCATATTAGAGATTGATTCGTATCGAGCTTCACCAAGTCGTCTTCTTGGATCCATTTTGTGTGTTTCAGAATAGACCTTTAATTAATTATATGCTATGCCATATTTTTCCCGCTTTTAAAATAGAATAATTTTTAGGGTGAAATAATTTTTTTAGGGTAAATTTGGAATAGGTGAAGTTTTGCGGATTAAAGCTTCTGCTTCAACTACTAAATACTCAGTGAAAAATTACTGCATATAAAGGATGCAAAAAGATTTTTGAATTTCACGAATAAACTTACGAGACTATCGTAATTATGAAAATTGAATTTTTCGACGAGTTGCTCAGCGAATTTCACACCGCGTACCGTATTACCCAACGCATCTAGCGGTGGGGAATATAAACTTATGCCCATCACGTTTGGAATCACGATAATCATATCACCGGATACGCCGCTTTTTGCTGGTAAACCAACCTAAAATATAAATTAATGAATTTTAATTAACTTACTATTTTGCTCGAAAAATCCAAAAAGAAGTGAAAAAAATCGGAGAATTTGAATAAACAGAAAAAAATTTATCCGTGGATGAATGAAACAGGTGATATTAGAAAAGTAGAATTAGGAAAGGAGTGGTCGAGTGAGATACTGCTTCAGTTAAAATTAAGCCACAATAAATACGATTCCCTATTCCCCGATAAGAGTCAAATTGTCATTAAAAGTAAAATCCGGGTGGTGCTAAGCTCCCTATTCCCCGATAAGAGTCAAACTGTCATTAAAAGTAAAATCCGGGTGGTGCTAAGCATCTTCTTGTACTTCTATAGTATTTTAGGCAAATTATCGCAATATTTGAATACTAACTAATCAAGCCAGAAATACTCAGCAATGCTAAAATGAGAGGGAAGTGCCTAATAAATGCCTTAGGCATTCCTTTCGCTATGTTGCAATTACATGCAAATGATTTCTCGAATAATTCAACTGCCACTCAATTTTCATTTAATCAAAATTTTCCGTTAAATGCCGTAATAATATTGCTAAATTTATTACCGTAAAAGCAAACTGTCCAGAGTAATCATACATTCCACATGAATACATCAATGATAAAGTATCTCGAACAGCTAAATTACAAACAACTCGTTCGCCTGTCAGTGGTGAAACTCCACCATTCGCAAGTGTAGCAGCCATAACTGCTAAAGCATCTGCATTCGTTTCAATTGAACATAGTTGAAAATAAAAATCTAATGTTTCCTAAAAATTGATAATTGAAATCTAACATAAATTAAAAGAAACAACTGGTTTAAAAGACAAATCATAATTTTCATTATTAAAATCAGTGATAGATTGATAAATGATAAATCACCTGAACAGTACTTGATTTCGGTGGAAAACAGTTATGTTCACGCATATAATAAGTTAATGCATAATTACGATCAGCAGTTGCACGTTCCGATAGGAAAACTGAATTATTAAAACCAACATAACCACTAGCAGCAAATTTTTTAAATTGTTGCAAGGCGAAATCGAATCGATCTGCTAATGATCTCGATTGTTGCAACAATGAAGCAACTAATATTGCTCCAGCATTTATCATTGGATTATGAGGCTTATCTGAAATATTTTCTCGTTAAATTCACTATTTTCGATTTGATCCGCAGCATTCACTGGCTATTAGGATGAGAACATTCCGAGTGGGAGATGAATTGCGGGTGCAACTCGAGCATCGTATGAATTTATCTTTTAATGATAAGCCTATTTCCGCCAAAGGACAAGCAATCGAATATACAATGGTTTTTATATATACTTTTTAAGAGTTCAACATTTGACTTCGGAAGAAAGTTGAAACTAACGATTATGATCGAGGCAAATTTCGTTGAATAGTCTGCCCGATGGTTCTTGGCCAACGTATGTGTGCACCTGAAAAATTACAATTTGAACTTCATCCTGGTAATTTTTAATAAATTTTTATCTCTGAATTACAATTATTATTAATAAAAATATAAAAATATAGGTAAAGTACATAAATATACTCTTGCTAGCATCAATCACTTAATCATTTATAATCACTTACATATTCAGCGCCAAGCTCTTCAAGTGCTATAGCGTATGTGAAAGGTTTTGAGACACTTTGCAAACAGAAAGGTATTTTTGCGTCGCCCCATGAATGACGCTGTCCATCGACGGTGCATATCGATAAAGCCCAATGCGTAGGGTTTGATCGAGCTAGCTGCGGTATATACGTTGCTACCTAAATACTAAGGGGCGATAACTATTTTGTATCCATAAAATCGTCACCCGATTGCTTATTTAGCTGTGAACACAGATATAGTTAAAGATATACCTTTCCATCAATAAATTGATGACAGCTTTCGAAAATTTGACCGATGGCTGATGTAAACGTTGGCCAGTCCGGTATTATTAATTGCATTTTCAATGCTTTGGCAATCAGACCAGCTTTTTCACCAACACATCTCAAATATAGTGCAATAAATATGTATTCGAAGGATCAATAAGATATCATGACAAAGGTGACATGTATTTCCTTATGAGATTACTGATCCTGAATTTTTAATAAGCGACTGAAAAAGGATTCACTACTTCTTAAATACATCCCTTTCCAATTCAGCATTGTATACGATATTTGTTGGCGACGATAGTGAAAGTTTAGATCCCGTTTCTGATTGCCTTCTTTCTTCGCTAACTTTCTCGACAGCCTTTAAAAAATCTTCAAGCCTTAGATCGTCTTGTCGGATACCACATTGAGCTAGCAACTGAAACGAAAATAAAGGCTTTAATTTTAGGATATTTTAGTTATATCCGGAAAACTATGCATGTGCACACTCTCATTTAATTAAATAGATTATATTGTTAAAGGGAAATTCTAAGAGAAAACAAGAATGGTAAACTTGTTTTAGTTATGAATAAACCATAGGTAATAAACCGAAAAAATTAGCAGTACTTGTCAATTTCACAGGAATTTTCAAAATGGTTACCTTGAGTAGTGTCGCTACTGCCAATTTATCGGTTTCTGTATCTCTAAAAAGATCAAATATAACATCGGCGACATGCTGTGATGCTCGAAAGGTGGTGTAGGAATCACATGATATATTCCTCATCAAGTTTTCCTTAACAATACGCCCAGGAATAGAATCCAACTTTGTTATAGATTGATGATTGTTGATTGGCGATTTTACAGCTGTATCAGACATCTGATCTTGCCTTAAATATATTATCAATTATGCAAAAATAATTAACCAATAACCCACTAAGTCATTCATTCCGCTTTTCTTTCGCTATTCGGCGACAATGCTACCCAACGAAACAAAACGCTTCAGTCGGATTCGAATCCGAATCATTCTCGATGATCATCATCTTATCACTAACTCACCGATCATTATCTAATCACAGTGCATATGTAAATAACATTTCATATCTTTACTTTCTTCTTCATCTAAGAATATTCTCCATTGTTGGCTTGGCTAGCTTGGCTGTTGAGAAGTGACACTTTCTCCAGAAATAGTGAGAAAAGAAGTGGAATATATTCAATCAATCATTTAATCAAATATAAATGTATTCCTCCAAACACACCATTAAAAATATCTAAAATGAGGCTAAAATGGATACATTTTTCCTAACGATATGTGTCATCTCTGACTTCCATTTTTCTAGAAATCGAGTATTTCGATCCACAACATCGATTTCAACTTTTTAAAGATTATTAAGATCTCTTTCAAATCAAAGTTGATTCGCTCAAATAAAACTTAAGAGTTGTTATTGCTTACCCGAATAATGGCAGCTAGAAATGTTTTTCCGATTGACGAAACCTTTATGGACCCGTTGCGAAATCACGTAAAAATTAAAGTACGTGTCTATATAGCTGCGATTCATTGATCTTGCTATATGGCTGTGAGGCATCACCACTGAAGGATAGAGTGAAGGATATTAAGGTTATCTCCTTTGACCACTTATTTTACGGGTTCGCCGAGTGGAAAAAGTATCACATAATCGCATCCACCTTCATTTGTACTAACAGTGCCATCACAGAGCGTCGATTTTGCTGGTTAGAGCATATATTTCGTTATCTGCTAAACACTGTGATGAGTAGTGTCAAAAAAAATCGAGATGGGCCGATCAAGACCTGGACATCAGGAAAAATTTTGAACGTACATGTGGACCAGCAATATATGGACTTCACGATGGAAAAAAGAGTAGCTTCTATTATTGTCGACGATGGCATCAGATTGCGCAGCTTGGAAACGTCTTATCCTTATAGCCGTTGGAGCCAGCCTAACCAGTAATGATGAGAGCTGTTAGAAGAAGAAGACTACTTTCGCGCAATACTCGAATAAATCGGATATGTACAAATTTTATGATCAATCGATGCAAAAACAAAAATATTTATAGCGAATAATTTGAATAATTTTATTGCCGATATTTAATAATTTTATTACTAATATAATCTGAATTATTTCTGAATATCAGCCAAATACGATGAAAATAAAAATAAATAATTTCTGCATAATTTTTCTGTAATTAGTTCGAATTCGCTATCAAAAAATGATCAATTTTTTAGAGTAAAAAATATATTAAAAACATCAAAATAATGTTAGGCAAATGAAGTAAAATATAATAGCGATTCAGTATTTGGGAAGAAAAATTGAAAAAAAATTGCTTTCGATTTGAAAAGGCTTTTTCATCATCGTTAGATATGAATATGAAAGAATGCAAAAAATCCTTAAGTCGATCGCTTCTTCTTTCTTCTAATTAGTGCTCACCGTTTCCGGTTTATTTGACTTCATTGACTGTTTAAAAAGAGGGACCATTCGTAAGGGAGGCATTGAAGGATAAGGTAAAGGTGAGTCGCTAGCATCCATGCGAACTTGGACAATTATTGTTATTATTAATTATTATTATTACTATTATTATTGTTACTATAATTATTAATTTGGAATAATGAAGAGAGAAATTTGGTAAAGTAAAATTTATCAATTTTCCTTAGTGACTATTTGAAGCAAAAAGCTCTCTTTTTGAAATCGAAATATTCATGAAGAAAGTGAAATTTCTCTTTCTCTATTCTCGAAAAAAGGTTTCCTGCGGTTTAACCACAATCAAAAGTAAATAACCATTAAAAATTAATTACTAAATTCGTAGCGATCTTTGAGCATAAATGAATATAAAGGAAAGCCAACTTACTGATTTTTTTTGAGCCTATAAAATGAGCCAATTGAAATAAAAATAGATATTGGAAAATTTCGTGAAAAAAAAAAACAAATTTTTACGCTAAAAATTGAACGGAAAAATTAAGCAATAAAAAAATTAAAAGTATGAAAATTTTCAATTTGTATGAAACCAGTGAATTACTGAATTATTGAACCTGAAAGAATTTCTCAAACTTGCTAATCAATTTTCTAATTTTCCATTTTTCGAATATTACAGTAATCAAGGAATTTATGGCCATAAAATGGCTTAATGGATCGTTGAAAGCACCAGCGATGTTTCCAGCAAGAGTCATTTTTTTATTTTTCGAAATCTAACGCTGGTGAATCACCTGAACTTTTAGTTTCTCCTTAGCAAATTTGTTTTATCTGAGCATTGAAGCCAGAGGAATCTGCCTAACCATAAATGATGGTAGCATTTATAGACCAAAGATAGTATGGGATTTTCGCAATTGCCTTGCCTTCAATTTTACTCCTAATCTTATTCCTCCTTATTCCTAACAGTTGAAACGAGACAAACCTAATGGTTATAGGTTGAACCAGAGAATCACTTGGGAATAGAAGTGGAGGTGAGTGCGCGTGTTTCGACTCTCATCGACATGGGTTATTCCCGTCGATAGATTACGGTATTCATTAACATTCATAAATAATTTATTTTTTAAAAGTTTGTATTTTTGTTCAATTTTTATCACTTCAAAGCTCGAATCTTTTCAGAAATTTTTTATAAATTAATCGTTAAGCGAAGCGTAAAAAAGGAGACAAAAATATTAAAGATAAAATTGCAATAAATTTATTAAAAACGGATTAAATTTCTAAGTGCAAATTTATTCGGATTTACATAGCGTTAAACAAAGAAAAAGCAAAAAATAAATTGATCAATAGAAGGGAAAGCTAAATATTTGCTAATATATTCGGCAATTGGTTTTTCAGGAGAAATCGAATCCAGAAAAAACAAATTTTTTCCGTTATTTTTCGCCATTTTTTTTAGATTAAAAATTCCACAAATTCCATAAATAATATTATTTAAAAATTTTTATTGCAATTGTATAATCAAATTTAAAATTTAAAATTTACTTTAATTTTTATTATTAAGTAAAAATAAAAAAAAAAATTGAATTTTGCGCATTAAAAAAATGGCTCTCATAAGCTAAATTGGAAAAGAAGAAAATCACGATTATGATGGATTTTTATAAATAGGACAAATAAAAAATTATTTGAGTGCAGAATGTGGAAGAAATGCCGATTTAAGGCATTTAATAAATTGATTTAAGACTGGGTGATCAGTCATGTAATTTCCAAAAGGAAAGTCTTTGTATTGAAAGTCATAAAATATTTATAGAAAAATATCAAAATTATTTCATTTCAAGAAATGTGAATGTGAAATCGAAGAAATTTAAATAATCCGATGTCGAAAAAAATGCTTTGAAATTTCTAAACGCTGCGATTTTCCTAATTGTATTTCGATTTCTATCCAAAACGATTCGCCGATGAAATAATTTTTTCTTTCTAATAAATGGAACTAACTAAACTATAAATGATGAGAAAAAAAAGGTTAAAAAAGGAAAAAAATTCATAAATGTGAAAAAAATTTGCGAAAAAAATTTGAATAACTAAACGGCTAGGAAAAAAGAATTTAGTAGCGATATCGATGTTTTTACTATAATTTTTAAATTCATAAAAATATTAAGCGTTGCAAAATATTTGTAAAAATTAAGGTTTATACTGGGAAAAACAAATGAAAAAGATGCGTTTATGTGAGCTTTTTCATTTCAAATCAGAAATGATCCAACATTCAGAAGTCATTGTGGGGTCAAAGGTTGCAAGCCATATGAGAAATAAGCGTTGCACCGTTGGGTTGGTTTTCTCGTTTTTCTCGTTTCTCTATTCCGTTGTCTCATTCCTCCATGCGTCTTTCTACTATGCATTTACAAAATCTATGTCGAAATTTCCAACAAAATAAAGTGGTTATCGGAAATTAAGCAAACATATTTTATTTTCTCTCCAATCCTCCTTCGTCTCCGTCCACAGCTTTTCCACAGTTATTTCCTATCTCATTATCCTATAATCCCTATGGAATGCCTCCAATTCAGTTATAATAGCCATTAAACAATTTTTTTCTATCTTTAAATTGCAAAATTCTCAACCTTCAAAAATTACAAAAAAAACCAGAAAACTCGCAGTTGAATTTAAATTCTAAATTCTAATTTGCTTAGATCGAAAATAAAACTTGGATTGTATGTGCAAATGTCAGAGGTCAGCTGTAATGTGCAATAACTTTTCACATAACTTGAAGGTATTGTTTGTTTGATGAAAAATGTACAAAAAAATTGTCGCTTAATTAGTCGCCTAATTGAACTAATTTGGCCTTTATCGTTTATCATTTAACATTTAAATTTCGGGATTTTATTTAAAGTGAATGACAGCCAAATCGCTTAATTCAACCAAACAGGCTGAAATCACTCTTAATTTTCATAAAACTAGCAAGAATCGAATCCGTAATACTCCGCCGTAATATTTTTATTTATTACTAAAGATTTTAGCTGCAAAGCATAAATGAAACCGGAATTTATTGGAAAAATTAGTTTTCTTTTTTTTTTGAAATCAACGCTATCGCATTGAAAATTTTAAAAAAATCCATCGACGAAAGAGATTTGCTTTTATAATTTTTTTTTCACATTTTATTCTTCAATAAATTTTCATTTTTAACGATTTTTCGATTGAAAATATTAAAAAAAGGAGAAAAAAAAACGATGGAGAAGAAGGATAATAAGAAAGAATTTGAACAAAAATTCGATTATGCACAAATGCACGGAAAATCTGTTAAGAACGAATTTATACGGTAATAAATCCATCTGAAATTATTTAAAATTATGAAAAATAAGTGATTAGTGCTCACCATTTTCGATTTCTAGGCTCGCTCCACTTGCTTTACCAGGTCGTCAGGGCACAAGTAAAAGTACAACTGGATCAGCACCACTGCTAAGGTTGCTTAATGGCACCAGGCTCCGAGATGATCATAGCGATAGTCTGAGCAAAAAAACATTTGACTTTCATCAGCCTATTTCTTTTAATCTATTATGCATAAAATAACTAAACTCATTGGCGCAATAGATTTTAAATAATAATGGGGGGAATAGTAATAAATAATAAATGTGAAATCCTATTTGCGGATTTTCTTCGAGATTAAATTAATTAAAAATATTTTGTAGAGACAACTAGGAGAAACACTTAAGGAATTTTAATTCCTTTATAAGTATACGAAATCCACTTTAAACATCAATAATTCATGGATTTATGCACTGCTTCATGCTTTAATAATTGAAGTCATGCGGAAAATTTATATTGACAAATGAAAATTAAAAGAATTATATTTTCCTTAGAATGGTTAAAATAAATTTTTGCTTTTATTTTAACGTATTAAAAAAGGAACAAATTAAAAAAAAAGTGTGAATTTAGATTTTCTTGGGAAAAGGCACTCCTAAAATATTTGGTCTGTGAAAGAGAATTACGCGAATACTTAAATAAACTTCAAAGAGTACTTTAAAAAACTCATTTCCGAACCATTTGTTAGGTGCTTTCTACATCCCTCTGCTTATTTCTCGTCACAATTATCTATGAAAGAAATTTTTTTGCCACAAATTTTTGTTTTATAATATGATTGTGGAATATGAAATGTGAAATCTGCGGCTGTGAAATTTGGGTTTGAAAGGAAATTAATACAGTTCCTCAAGTATTTGCTTACTTATATAAAATATATTTGTGCATAAAAATTATAAAAAACTTTAAATTATGCTAATTTTTTATTTGGATATAATGCACTGCACTTACGAAAATATAACAGTAAGCAAATTTTTGAAAAGTCTTCTAATAACCGATCTTTTAACCGATATTTCCTCGCCTTCAATCTTATATTCCTCATATTTCTGTTCAATTCAGAATCAGTTAATTCTTCATTCAATAGCCAATAGTTGTGATTTAGCTTAGCTGTGACCATAAAAGCTCTTCGAAGTCGCAAATTGTCCTCGGTGAGTTTTGAAAAGAGTTCCATGAAAATAAATACGCGACTTGTGCGAGAACGAGGTGTACGAGACCGGTAGAAATGAAGTTCGGCAACTTCCGACCGATTCTCTGATATTAAAGATTAAGCGAGATAACTTAATACTTGCCTTTTATTAAAATTTATGTTTTGCAAATTTAAATAAATAAACGGAAGAATTTATGGAATAAATAAAATTAGAGATAAATTTTTGCATAACTCCTAATTAATGTCCTTCAGAAGAGAGTGCAAGCAACGCTGATCTGTATGAATTTGCTGTAAGAGATCCAGCTGATTATCGTAGGCACTCCTCCTCACTTCTGCCAATTTCACGGGCATACAACAGGGGCAATTTTTAAAGGAAGAGAGTCACTTTAAAGGATTAAAACTGCGTACCATAGCGTTATAAATAAACAAAACTAAGAAGAAGGTTAACAAATTTTTCATTCGGTTCCTATAAATTATTATATAAATGTTTTCTTAAAATTTAACTTTCGCCAGAATGTCCATTAAAATTGAAGTTAATTGATTAGATTTAAACTATTTCTAGGATTACAATTATGCGCAATTTGTTGTTTCTAAAAATCTCTACGGCTACAACGAATTTTTGAATCTTCTCGTGCTTCTAAATAAATTTTTATTATTAATAATTTTATTATTTTTCCACTATTTTTTTCAAATTTTAAATAATAAATTTAAATTTTAAATTTTTTAAAAATTATCAAATAATTTTTTTGATTTTTGCATCATTTTTAAATCATTAATTTTTCCTATTTCACATCATTTTTTTTTTAAAATTTGTTCATTAAAAAAAATATTTAATATTTAATAAAAATATTGGAAAATAAGCGAAATTATTTGAATAAATAAAATATCGAAGTGAAGTAGAGAATTGTCTGAGTTGAATGAAATGAAAGATACTTGAATGCTTTATTGAACGAAATTTATGCATTATTATTTATAAGCAATGCAAAAATAGAATAATTTTAAAACATTCTTCATTTCAGCCATTTTTAGATGCTTTTAGAAATAGCGTGGAAATGAATTCGCTCCAAATTGGCTTATTGCATTGGACAAATGTGCCAGGAAGTCCCTTGGCGATAGAAGTACAGGTGAGTCGCCAGCGTCACGCGGATTCTTGTACAGATTCACTCCTGCAGGGAATCGAACCTCAGCATCGGCGCTCCCAATTGAGCAACAACCCACTGAGCCATTCTTTCCCAATCTTACTTGTCATCATTATTCATATCAAACCCCAACGTTCTTACTGATTTATTCTTAGAATATATGGCAAATGTGCTTGAAATCTATTCGGCGAGAGCGCTGAACTTGAATATTAGAAACCAAAGAGATCAATGGACACACCTGCTTCTACACTCGCTGCTTTTACTTATAAAAATTGCCGGAAAATATTTTTAGAAGAAATTTTTGTAGAAATTTTTGTTTTTAGCGAAATTACTCTAATATTTCTCATTATTAACGTTCATTTCATAATGTTTTTTAATTTGCTGTCTTTTTTTTTGGTAATATTTTAGCCAAATTTTGAGCCTATTTAGTTCGCCATAATGTAAGCTTCTGGAAATGCCAAACAGCTAATTTTTTTAGTAGATCGCCGACTCATTGGCGAGAATAGATGCCTGGATTTGAATTCACGCCTCCTCGTCGGGCAGCAGTGTCGCCTGACGGAGAAAAACAAAGGAGAGTAGAATGGCTCAGCGCCGATGCTGAGGTTCTATTTCTGGCAGGAGCAAACGAGTCCAAAAATCCGGGTGACACCCGCGATTCACTTGAACTTCTACCGCTAGTGGTACTCCCTGGCAAACTTAGCACCACAAGCCATAGCGGCAAGTCCAACCAATAACCTCATGATAATTATGATATATTTATTGTTGTTTTAAAAAAATGTTGACCACTATAAAGCAGCTTAAAGCAGTCGCGGCTGCCGAGTAAAGTTAAAAAGCTGTCAAAGCTATTTTTAGAACGCCTTAATCAAGTCATCATTCCTTAAATCACCACAAATCAAAAATCGTCATTTGCTAAATTCTCATTAGAAGAAATTAGTTACTATTTTTAGATGGGTCCAATATTATAAAATCAAAACAAATGAGAATATAAGATAAAACAAATGGTAAAAATAATAATTAAATAATAATTAATTGCAAAAAAATTCATTTTTTTTTCACTATGGTCAGCCGACTAAAAACGAAATTACATTGGCTTCAACCGTGATTGATGAATGCCAGTAAAAGTAAATTCTTTGTCTCTCGCAGCCATAGTTGTATTTCCGTCTGCGGGGGAGGAGGGAAGGGGGAGGGGTTATGAATCCTAAGAGTGATTCTTGCAAAAGGATCTAACTTAGCGGTAATACATATTCAATCCAAGTTAGCCAATAGATAACAAATGATTAGAATTTGAGCTGTAACTACAAATACTTTTAAATAAAGTGGTCTTAAGATGATTATTTGAAAAATGTATTTGAACCGATTTCAAATAGTATATTTTGAAAGTAAGTGGTCATGTGATTTTTGCTGTAAGATGCTTAGAGTGTAGTTTCATTTGTGGTGCATGGTTGCATAATGGACTTTTTCTGGGCTGTTTATGGGGTTTCCTATGTACCATAGGGGAGAATGGCATTACTGGCTAAAAAACAAGCCGCGTATGGTCTATTTCCATTTGTAATTTCTTATTTGCTCTGCAGATAGTCGAACTAAAGGAGCTGAAATTGAAAGTGCGGTGGCACGAACGTTGTGCCTTCTTCTTGGTTCGAATTCGGATTGTCTTGGGTAGCTCGAATTTTCTTTTCTCGAATTTCTTTTTCGAATTTTGTTTTTTCTTAACATTTTTTGCATGGGGTCTTTTGTGTATTTTTAATAAATTCTTTTTTTAAAGCAGATTTTTTTTAATTTTTTAAAACTAAACCATTTTTTACAGGCCATTTTAAAGTCTCTCTTTTACTTCATGGAAATAGTTTTTATTGGATAAAAAGTAGAAAAAAATGGATGTAAGTTATTATTATTAGTAGTAATTTATACTTTAATTATTAGTAGTAATTTATAATTTAATTTTACTGGAAGGTTACTGCTCAACTATCCGATATGGCCCTTATAAGTTGTGAAATTCTTTTAAATTCCTTGTGGCGCTTTGGCCAAACCTGTGTAATGAAACGACGATAATAAAAAGATGATAGTTGAGATTTTCGAATGGAATGAATGGCTGGCTGATGATGCAGTAATTCTACGGTGGTAAAGATATCTTTTAAAACGAGGCAAGATCGGATAGCTGACAGTTTTTTTTGGTGATGAATTTTTTCTATAATTAAAAATTCATAGAGGATTTATTTAACTTTTTCTAATTTTCTTTTATTTTTATTTTGGATTTAACTTGAATAATAAGTTATTATTATTTTATCATTATTTATACTAATTATAATTATTATGTTTTTTATTTTATTCTTATTAGCTTTTATGTTTATTTCACTTAATTTCTCATTTTTTTATTTTTTTGATCTTGTGATATTAGACGAATTGAGTGATATTTTTCGATTTGTGGCTTTTATCTCTTTTTTCATATTGATATTTTAGCGTGATAGTTGTCAGAAAAACGTTAGAAACGACATATTGGAGTCTGCAAATGATTGGTTAGGAAAGGCGATGGGAAATAACCAAGGGGGTCTACATAAACGTGAACGTACAGATAGCCAGCGTAATCGTGTGTGGAGTAGTAATACATCAAACACCATGGGGACTGCTAATGCTGCTGAAGATGGGTGTCCTGTTCAAGTAATCTTTTTTCAAATATTTTTTATAATTTTTTGATTTTTTGAATTTTACTAGACAATTTTTATGTGATAACCTGTTTGCACACAAATTATTGAGTGCATTACATTATTATTGATATTTTATAAATTTTAAGAAATTCTCAGTTTTTGTTTTGTTTATTATTATTAATCAGTTAGTATTAATATTCTCTTGTTAGTATTAGGAATAAATCTATCATAAATCTGTTATTTTCTATAAGAATTACTGGAATTGAAATTGAGAACTAAGGTAATTATCAATTTATTAGGTAAAAATTGCGAAAAGCGATGGCACATCTTCAACACCAAGTATTCAATTTACTGAATCGAATGAATATCCGGTCGTTTTCAAGTGGCAAGGTGGGAGCCAAACAAAAATGGTATATATATCGGGTTCTTGGGACAACTGGAAACGAAAAATTCCACTGTGCAAGTCAACTCAGGATTTTTCGACTATAATCAATCTGACCCCAGGTTAATATAAATATTTTGATGGAATATATTTTAACTTTTTAAGTTATTTTTGTTCTTTTAGGCTTATTGAAAAAGCTTTTTGATTTTGCTGATTAATTTCTTTAGAAGGCTTTAAGTTTTTTTCTGGCTAATATTAAAATATTTTTTCTTCTTCCTATAGTTCTCACTATTACTGGTTAGATTGGCGTCGCTGTCTGCAAGATAGGAGGCTGCACGATGTATCATCGATGTTAGCAGTAGAAGCCATTCCTTTTTCCACCATCCATATATCAGTGGTCCCTATATATGTTCAAAATCTTTCTTGACTCTATTAGTCAAATCCCTTCTCCCTTTTAACTCCATCCGTCACAAGTAAGGAAAATGAAAAAACATCTCTTGATCGGCGAAGGCACCACTGCATGTTGGTACCATTGATGCAGGTGTTATTTGAACAGATTGTGATTTCATCTTTCGCCTGGCCATTTGGAATTGGAGTGGATCCAAGATATTTAAAATTGGGCTCTACGATGAGCTGATAAAATTAGGTATATCAGTATGAAAAGACATTCATTTTATTTGTATTAGTTTTTAGTCCAATTTTCGTTGCATTTCCTGATATTTATAAGTGCCAGATAAAAGGACTACAGCGTATTAAAGATCTGTGATACCATTCTCTGGATGATTTCTATCTCTCTCGTATATCAATAAACTGATTCCATTATCCAGTTTATCATGTAGTTGAATTTCGGAAAAAGGATACAATTTTGATGAACACCAGTTCTTATTCCCATATACACCAATATATGCCGATATATGCTATAAAATGCCTTTATTAGTGGAATATTCTCTGAAACACCACCACATTCCATCATTCTCCAAAGCGCCGTTCTATCATTTGAATCAATTGAAGGCAACTGCAAAGTAGATGAAACAAGTGACAGTGGGTTGTAGTTTTTTGAAGCGATATTCCATTCATAATTCACTGTTATTGCCTAATCAAGTTGCCGTTCCATTTCTAAGGCCATATGCCATATCACTTCGGTAGTGATATCTGTCTCGAGCTACTTGAGTTGTAGTTCATCGAAGCATCTGGTAATCAGGATCTCTTTCGTGCTTTAGCAGCTTTTTTGGATAGTTGGATAGATAATTGCATCCGGTGCCCAATTAACTTATTTCCTACTAAGCATATTCCAGCCTTCTCCCATTATGAGCATGACAATTAGAGATGCTTTTAACAGTTGGAATTACACGTAGAAATTTTCCTTATCTGAGTTATAAAATTGGAGTAAATTAGAGGAGTGGGCTTTTTCAAACATATTAATCGCTATGCCATTTCTTTCTGAATTCCGAAACACTACAGTAAGGCCATTGTATCTGCGTGGAGCCAAGTTTAGTAATTGCCCGAGAAATAATGAAATTGGATCTTCGATCAGGCGACATCCACACGATATTTTGAAAGAAATAGTGATCGCTTGGTTTGCAATATCCATAAGCGTCCATTCCATGCTATCACGGCTGGCACCTCATCCTGCGTACAGAGAACTATTTTTCTTGACTAGTTTTCGAGGCAGTTTCCTTGGTTCATGTTTCCTTATTCGGGATCCTTATTCGGGATCGTTTTAATCTCGGGTTTTATCGCATGTATCACTGGATTGGGAATGTAATACGCGTTGGTGGACGTTGACCATGTCAAGGAAATCTAATCCTTTCATCATAGAATCTCTTGGGAACAGAGGTGAAACTGGGTCTCCAGCAGCTACTCGAATTTTTTTAGTATAATAGTTTTGCTCCTATTGAAGACGAAGTTAAAGAGGTGAAATTTGGGAAGGAAAAGATAAAGATAATAGAGACGGAAAAATTAAAAAATTAAAGGAAACATAAAATTGAAAAAGAATTTATCATGCGAAGTGTCGAAATTTTAGAAATTTCAAAAAATATTATATAGATAATGTCAACAATTCAATATTTTTACTTATCTTAATTGAGTAGGTTCCAGAATAAAATATTTTTCTAGGAAAGCATGAATATAAGTATTTGGTAGATGGCAAGTGGACATTGGATGATAATGTGGATAAAGTCGATAATGAATTCGGTAGTCAGAATAATGTAATTTTGATTGATGAGGCTGATTTTGAGGTTATATTTCTCATTCATAGTAATTTTATTTATTGAGGGACTTAATTACATTTGAATTTTTGAAATATTAGATTGACCTACCCGAAATGTTAGATCGGTTGGTTTGTGAATCGAATTTTTTGAAGCAGGAAATTTGGTGTAGAAAAATGAAATGTCTTTTCAAATTCGTATTTATTTTCAGGTTTTTGATGCACTTGATAGAGATTTAGCTTCTTCAAATGCTGGTGAAGCAATGCGTAAAATGAATGTGGCAGGAACCCATCAACATGATACTCCGAATGATCGTGAATTAGAGAAATTAAAACAGTTTACACAAGAAATACCTGATCGTCGGGAATTTGAGCGAGCTCAGAATCCTCCAGTATTACCTCCACATTTATTGCAGGTTTGGACAATATTTATTATATTTTTGAAAATTATGCGATAGAAATTCATAAATTTTGTCATAAATTTGTAAATCTGTTTTATCTCTTTTAGGTTATTTTAAACAAAGATACACCAGTACAGTGTGATCCAAACGTGTTACCCGAACCGAATCATGTAATGCTCAATCATTTATACGCTCTGTCGATCAAAGATGGTGTTATGGTTCTTTCTGCCACACATCGTTATAGAAAGAAATATGTAACTACCCTTTTGTACAAACCAATTGTTAGCTAAGAAATCCTTTCAGACATTGGATCTATTTTTATTTTCACTTTAAATTTTGTTACTTTTTTATAATTTTCCCGTAGTTGAAAATTTTTTTAAAATAAATTAGCCGTTATGCCAATTTTTTTTATCATCTTTATTCTTTTGGATTTTTTTGTCTAATAAAAGGTTTACGAAAATTCTTTATAAAATTTTCAAATTTTGACTTAAGATATTTGATTATATTTGAAGCTTTATTAAAGTTTATAGTACAAAATTATATTTTTTTTACAAAGTCTTATAAATTTGCTTTGTTGCAATTTGCTCATTAGTTTTTTTTTCTGACTGGTATATGATGTATAGCAGACAAATTTAATCAGACAAATGTATAGCCACATTAATTGTTTTTTTGTTTGCTATTCGTTAGACAATGTTAGCTGTATTTTATCTTTTATTTCTCGTATTTTTTATTGGTTAATTTTACATGAGATCGCGTTGAATTATTTGTAGTCTTCACAATTCAATATTTTCTTCTTTTCTTTTATTGTCAGGTTCGAAAACTTGTGAAACTGTTCACTGCTTACGATTTTTAAATTTTGCTTAATTTTTTTTTTTTTTTTTATAATTATTCATGATATATTTATGTTTCAATTTTCCTTCTAGAAATAAAGAATAACAGTGTAGTTCTATGAAAGCATAAATCTGTAAAAAAGGTCTTAAAAATCATAAGGTTCAGAGTTTTTATCTTTTGGAAATATTTTAAAAATTTGCTTTTACACAAATTTTTTTGTGTTTAAACTTGAAGATAAGAAATGTAAAAAACTTACTTGCTTTAAATGAATCAAATTTTAAAAATATTGAAATCAAAGTGGCAGATAATTTAGGGATCTGGTTTATGCGTCGTTTATGGACAGCAGAAAGAAGTTGGCATAATGTCTCAGTGTCGTCGAAATGGTCTGGTTCGCTAAGTGAATATGCATTTTCTATTGATATTGAGGTAAACAGCGTTTCTATCAAATATTTCTTGCGATATATAATTCATGGTTTATTTTATTTTGATTCAGTGGTAATGTTGAGAAAATTTCGAAAGATTTCATTTGAATAGAAAGAAAGCTTCGGAAAATGTGGAAAATGAAATATTAAAATTTAGTGTACAAGGAAAAAGGATGTTGACGTTTGGACATTAGGTATTGCACCAGAGGAGACATGTTCGTATTCTTTATTGGTTGATATTTGTTTAACGGTCAATGACACAAGATTTCTGGTATTTTTATTGCTAAATATATTTTTCATATCAAGTTTGTTCATGACATTTCTTATAATTTTAATTTTTCTTTAATCGCTATTTAATTTAATTTGCATTTTTACTTATTGTTTAAAAAATAATGAAAAATTTATTCGAGAAAAAGGCAAACATAGCATAGAGCGAATTGTTCATAAAAGAAAAAGTAGAAATTTATTAAAATAAAAAAAGGGTATTTTATTTTTGATAAAAATTTACAAATGGAGAGCCCCGAAAATTTAAATTAATAAAGAAAGCATAAAAGAAGGAAAAAAAGCCGTAATGAAGCTGAAAACTTTGGGCTCTTAAGTAATTCTGTCTAATTTTTTTAGAAGCCTACTTCACAGTTTCATTATTTAATATTGCGAATAAAAAAAATTACGTGAAGGGAGATCGTAATACTTAACATTGTATATAAATAATTTGCAAAATTTTCTATCTTATAATTCAAAAGCCAAAAGCCAAATCTTATAATTTTTAGTCTGAATTTTAATTTTAAATGAATTATGCATCTTATAATCTTATTAGTTTGCAAATTTGGTTAATTATTAATATTCAATTGTGAAATTCTGTATTTTTTGGATTGAAAGAGATTTATGGGAACAGCCGAATATAATACTTCAAGAAGAAACACCATGCTGTGCTAATTACTTCGTAACATTTCAACTTCTCGTTATTCAAACGCTTTCACCGCAGCAACTCGAAGCTGAAACACCTTATCGAAACTTCGAAATTATAGTACTTTTTAAATCTTTTGATGTGAAGAGAATAGATTGTCTTTTAAACACGAAATCAGGGAATTGTAGAGGAATTGTGCGACGTTACGAAAGTGAAAGATCAATTATCAATTATCGTTAAATTTTTCGATTCATAAAAATTGTAATTACGTTGCACTTTATATTCAGTGCGAAGATTGTTCAGTATTCGTTGATACTCTTTATTTGTCTTCATTGGGTGGACGACTTTTTACTGAATGGCATGAAATGAATTCGAAAGGCAAGTCTTCGGTTGAATTAACTGATTTGGCCAGTACGGAATTAATGTGCCTTATTGATGCTACTGCCAAATTCAGGCAAATAGTCATTACGAGGTCTATTTTCTTATTTTTTATTATCCAAATAGTTGTTTTAAAATGCGAATGTTTCATAACTTAAAAAGCACCTATTTTTTCATCGCAGTCATTGGGAAAACTAAAACGGCTAAATTTTTATTTTTATATTTGGATCTTTTAGGAGTAATTATGATCTGCTCGCTAGTATATCATTTCGGTATGGTATTGCTTCTGTTTTACGAGCTATTGAGACATATCTCATTGATGCTGAAAAGGTTAATCCAATCAGGAAAATGGAATTCGCTGTCAGTTATAAGTAAGTTAATATTGTTGCACTGAAATATTCGTGGATACACTGTGGAAAAAGTATTCTTCAGATTGGCAAGATTGGGTGATGTTGTGAGCCGAAATTTGATTTCATCAGGCACAGCTATGGAGCAGTTGCATGATTATTTGGCAGCAAATGGGAATACTTTGGAACAGGTATATCTATCTATCTGCGTTATTAAAATTGCCACTATTTATCTTTATTATTATTGTGCAAAAATCAAAAGGCTTTCAGGCCCATCCTGATGTTCTTGCATCTCTGAACATATATCCAGATTATGTGCTTTTATGATTTTTTTCATTCATTTCGGTCTTGTGAATAATAAAATTTTTGGAGAAACTAGACCCGTTTCATATAATCTTTTTGCATTTACCGTTTGGATATTTGCGTCGTATTTCTTTAAAATTTTCATCATTTGCTTTCATGGTTAATGTACTCTTCAATTTATCATTTTTCTTGTGGTTAGCTTGTTTTTTTATAATTCAAATGGCGTTTCATTTTATTTCATGAAGTAAAAAGACAATGCTGCCAGAAAAAAAAACAAGAATTCCCAAAAAATAGTGCATTTTTTGCTTATTTCTTTATCAGCAAAATATTAGTTTTTTAGAATTGTTTTTTTAACTTTTTTGTGATTTAAATCTACTTTTTTATAGATTCTGCAGTTGATTTATATTGGGAATGATCGGTAATATTTTGAAATAAGTTAGCAAAAGAATCATATATATGTATATAAGTATAAAAAACATGTTTGCGTTTTTAATCGATTTAATATAAAATCTGTGCATTCCAGAAGATGTCTTGGTGTGGTCTATAAACCATACTCCTCCGTTTCCGTTTATCATGGTTTAGTGAAACATCCATTATGTTAGCCCGAAGACCTAGCGCGATAGACCCCCACACAATTTTCTCAGAGTTATTGTTGAATGGTGAGTTCACCATGCCAAAATTTGTCGGGTGACAGATGACAGACAAACCTAAAGGTTTGACCAATGCCTTCGCCACCCCGATGATATCGCATTCGACAGGTGGAGTTTATACGAATATTCATCGGTTATAAACTCTGTTTTCAAATGCTTCATTTGGTTCATCCAAACGATTTCAGAATTGCTCTGTTAATTTCTCCGATTCATGTGAGGCGGTTTACTCTAATTCTCTATTCGAGAAACTCCAATCTTTTCAACTATTGGTTTTGGGTCTAATTTATTATAAATAATACAATGCTTCAGCAGTCATCGGGTCAACCACACTAAAATAATGAATGCTAGGAAGATAAACATTTATCAATAAACACATTTATCCTAAATGTTCTCAATTTTGCCAATTTCAGAATTCGATTTACTATCAGTTGAAAATTTTTAATCAAAAACTATTTTATGCAATATCGTACATACTGTATGCTCATTTCTCGTATTTTCTCGTAAGGTTTTTCTCTTTTATCTGTTGGAATAGGGGAATTTTTGTCGAGGAGTCATCGATAGAAGCACAGCTAGGACAGTACCACTCAAAAGATGTCGCATGGGAATGAATCGTAAATAACATTTGAAAATAAAAAGTTGGACAACGTAACTTGCGCTCCATTCCACTCAAATATCCTATCATTAAAATCAAATTTAGTTAAGGTCAACACTTTGGAAACGTTATGCTATTGTAGCCAGTGGATTTAGCGTAACCAGTTATGGTGAGAGCTATTAGAAGAATGTCAACACCACTACCCAGCTGTGCCGTGATAAAGGAAGAAGGTTCATATGTTGAGACTTTGATAAACCAGTTAATACAAAAAATAATCAAATCAAAGCTGAGCAATATAGAAAAGGAAATATGTTAACAAATTATTGATACTGTTCTGTAAAATCATTATACTGATATGAGTAAATTCCCATCTGAATTCTGAATTCCCATTTGCTTTTATATCTTTTTCTAACAACGTTCATCATTTTGTCTGTTAAGTGCACTGACCACTTAGATGGAGCATATAAATGGCTCCTTGCAGTCGCTTTTGGGCTTTTAAGTGGCCTACAAGTAGTCATTTAGATTTCTTTTTTAATAAAGATTTTAGTTTCTTCAGGTGCCGAGGTCGAATCTATTAATAATTTCCTCAAATTGAAACTATCATATCGATTCGAATCATATCAATCAATTGTAAATCACACTTCATTGTTTACTGAATTTTCTCTGGACTTAATGATGAAAAATACTGACGAAAAAAATAACTGAATAGTTAGATTCATTTATCGACCACGAAGACTGTGAGAGAAGAAAATTAATGTAAGGAATTATTCCTGAACGATTTATGCAAATTCGTAACTTTGTAAAATAGCAATAAGTAATAGTATTATGCTCTAAGGAATTGGGATTAAGAGAGATTCCCCGTAGGCTTCCAATCTATATGGATCGTTTGAGCCTCTAAAAGGAGGGAATGTGAGATAAAATTGTTTGCTACATTTTGATCTCTATAAATTATTTTGAAGACCAATTTAAAAATTTATAATCGACGTGAATTTCGGTGGAAATTATCATTTCGCAATTTACCGTGGTTAAATTTTTTCAAGAATTCGTAATTCAACCAGAAATATTAGTGCTACTGGGATGAATTTCTAGAATTTTTAGTCAAAATGCGGGCGATTCTTTATTTCATTAAATTTGGAACAATAAATATCTTTTTGACGAGTTTTCTTTGGCTGATAAAAGACAAATTTCGTTGATAAAAGATGGATGGAAGTGTCAATAATAATTTTTTTCGTTCATTGATTTTATCGAAAAAACAGCTGACAAAAATATGTTTTATGGATAATGCCAAAAAAAAATTTTTTTATGGTCATCACGAAATAGAAAAAGGGAAAAAATGAATATTAAAATTTTGATAAAATTGATAAAATAAATTTTGTACAAGATTATCGTATAGAAATTGTAAAGAAGAGGAAGAATGTTAAGAAGTACTGCGAATTCATAGATCGACGGTGCATTTCATGCTATCTTCGCTTATACTTCGATGTTTGTTCGATAAAAGTGAATTAATGAATGGGAATCGGTATTGCGGAAGAACGGTTGCGGTTATTAGCGGATTGAGAATCTGAATAAATTCATCTTCAGCAGTATTAATTTTTCAAGGCATATTTTTGGTGAACATTTCTGGTGAAATTTGAATCATTTCATTTTAGTATAATGAGAAATTTTTGCCATAAAATTTTCACTTTGGAAGTGGAAAATGCAATCATTAGCACTACCTAGAATTCCTAAGAAAAGTCCCGTCGGAACCCCAACTTGAATCGTACATTATTAAGTAAGCTCACAGCTGGTTGGACTTAACACATCGCTGGTTAGACTTTGACTATTGGTAGGGTTTGCAATTTTTTTCTAGAGAATCATTTCGAAACAAAAATACAGATTACAGATGGGTTTTTTTTTTAAATGGCAGATTTGCTATCGAAGAGTAGAATGCTCTCCTCTCAATATGATGATAACAACAGTAAAATAGAGTAGCTTAATTTATTCTTTCAACTCACACACCATTACTGGTTAGGCGTATTTCATTGGGGCAATCAGGACAAAATTAATTGAGCATTCAACGTTAAATTAAATTTAATCATTTAAAAAGTTAGTTTTTTTCGAAAATTATTTTACTCACGGCGTTGAGATCCATATTATAATAGGTGAAAATACTAATAAGGACGGCAAAACAAGAAATAACATCCGCATAAGCGGCAATCCGATAGATTGTAAGCACACGATAAGGGATTAAAGTTAGAAAAGTGAATACTGTTGAAATAAAAATGAAATAGAATGTGCGCATTCTGGATAGCAAGGCCCGATTCTTTCTCGCTCCACCATTCGCATTTTTGCAACAAAGGCTGATTTCTGAAAATTCAATCATTTGTTTGGAAATCTTATCATTTTTATCACTTAAATGAATTAATATTGCATTGATATTAATATTGAATCATAGATATTTTAATTTAATTGCATTAAAAAAACTGTGATAAATTATTTATTTTATTATTTTATTATTTTATTATTATTTATTATTTTTTTATTATTATTTAGTTTAAAATAGCTGTTAGTGATTGGACTGTCGCTTTGTCCAGTTTCTCTCCCTGAGGAAAAGGTCTCAGTTTTTGCAGCGTACATTGCAATATAATATGAAATCTGTACAAAAAGCCGATTTAAACAGTTTTTCAGTGGTTCACAGTTTATTTTAATTTGTTTTAATGTACTAACAATATGTGACGAATATCGACTTGAAGTAAACTTGGATAAAATAAATATAGATTGTGTCGCATATAGGATGATTTCGGTTCGATTTCTGGCTTGTGATAGAAGCAAATTTAGCATGAAAATGATAACCGATAAAATCGATTACAATAATCGATGCATTTACTGGTCCTAACTATTAAGCATTCACTCAAGGTTTAATATTGATAACCGTGCATCGGTGGTTCATTGGCAAGATAATTGCCGACGAGAATCCAAGCTTGGTTCTGAATTTGCCGATGCACCACTCTTCATTAGGTCGCCTAACAGAGAAAGAATGGCTCAGCGGGTTGTTGCTCAATTCGGGACTGGTGCTAAAATTTTGCTAAAACGGACAGGGGTCCGGAAATTCGAGTGGTGTTGGTTGCTCTGTTACACTTCAATGAACTCTCTGCCTTATTTATCTAGTCCGACAAGTCAGCGGAGCGAGTCTAAACAATAAAAAAAGGAAAAAAATGATAAGTGTTGCCAAATAAAAAACCATATGAAAAAACAGTTATCGCACTACAATTTTTATAACGAAATGTCACCTCGCAAGAGTAAACCTATACAAAAATCCAGGTGATGCTAGCAAATTGCCTGTATTTCTATCGCCAATGGACTTCCTGGCTTATTGTCCAATGCGACAAGCCAGAGGAGCGAGTTTAACCAGCAATGGTGAGTACTCTCTCATTATAAGTACCATTCTCGAAAAAAGTGATCACTAGACTGATTCATTAAATTGCCACATTGCTTCAAAAGACTTATTGGTACACTGCTTATTCGTAAATTCTGTGTTGTACTTAACGATTGACTTAAAAAAAAGCCATTTGTTCCTTCATTAGGGACCTCCAATTAATTAATTAAAAATTTATGCAGTGAAATTATATGTAAATTATATGTGTATTTATCTATGAATGGCAAAAGTGATTACTGACTTTAGCTGAAAATAAGTAATTTAAGTAAAATTGATCTGAAAGTAATATCTCAACAGGTTTCATTTAATTAAAAACCTCTTCTTCAAACGAAGCCCACCACTTTTAATTCTGCTGGAGAAGTAGTACCATGCAGATTTTACTCTTAATGACAGATTTGTTCTCGCAAGGACAAAACGCGTCCCTGATGCGTGATCGTAACAACACACCTGTCGCTCATTCTATTCCCCTTTAAATTAAATTCAGTATAATCTATGGTATTAATTCTATTTTGATTCGCGTGATTTTATTTACATTTGAGCCGATTAATTAAAGAATTAAGAAAACAAAAGTGCTGTTTTAATTGACAATTTTAAATTTATTGAATTTTTTTATTAGAAACCAACCCTCAGCGATATGTTTGCGATGTGATCGAACAATACTCATCAAATATAACGCGACAGTTAATGAAGATATGGCAGGAAAGACGCTAACGAAAAATGTAAAGAGCAAGTACATCACCGGTCCGTACTTGCTCCCAGAACCAGTGCGTAGCACTTCGCAATTTGAATGACATTCAAAAGCTCCTGTATACAACGCAAGGTTTATGAATAATGCACTGATTAGCCATGCTGATAATGCTAACGCATGAGCTTTGCCAGGATTTATCCATCTCGCATAGCTGAAAAATTATTTCCTTTAGTTTTCCAAAAATTTTTTTTTTTAAAATATTCTTCCTTTAAAATTTTGCCTTCTTAATAATCTCACTGGCTAAACTTATACATATCATTATAAATTTTATGAAATTATTTCTCTTTTATAAACATATGTAGTTGATATATGTAGAAAAATTATCTAGCGCTGTCATCCTTTTCGAAAAGTATGCATCTGGTTTGGTTTAATTTAATCTACTGACTGCTATGGTCCGATCTTTTCTCTAGAGAATCATTCATGTTTTTAATGATGGGTTTATTTTTTGCATAGAATAGAAATGAGACCCCTATTATTTGTGCCTAGAAAATGAAACGACATGCAACACAATTTCTACGCTTTTTTTCTAAAACGATGCCTATTTTTAAACGGCCAAAAATGTATTTCACTTCGCAACTAACAAATTTTCTTATTTTTTTTCATATGAAATTTTTACCAGTTTAACGAAATATTCGATTTCATTTATCTATTTGATTCAATAAATAAAAAAATATTTAAAATAAATGAAAATTTTTGTGGATTTTTTTCTCATTGCTGTGTTAATTTTTTATAGAAAATGAAAAAACTTTTCTAAAAATATTTTTTAATATTTTCGTCGAATTTTATGTTTGTAAAAATTTGTGCATTTATTGCTAAAGGCTAATCTTGTTTAGCCTTTTTGTTTTTGTCGATTGATTGTTGGCTTTTAACTTATAAAGATTTTATTCAACTGCAGAATTTATATTATTTACTAAGATGTACTCTATAAATTTAATGAAAAGAATAAAAAGTCTTTTTTGAAGCCATTTAACTACCCTATTGGGGATCACCGTGTTATGGAAATTGATTATCCGATCAACTATGGGAGTACTGAATTTTATATTTAAACATAGTAAACCATTCAAATGAAGTGGTTCAACAGAAAACAAATACGAGCATACAGATCTGCATTTCATTACAGTAATGATAGCGATGTGAATTATAATAAAAGACGAGAATCAGGGATTTGATTAGACTAAATTCAGGAAAACTGATTAAATTTCTATCGCTAATTTTTTTTCCATTTCTTATTTTTAAATTGAATTTTTTAAGAGGAAAATGATTCTCTCTTTTTTTTCTCCGTCAAAGTCGTAATCTTCAATCCTCATTAAACGATAAAATTGACCTCGTTGAAGATCTCATTTGAAATTTCTGATTAGATTTTTTTCAATATTTCTATTCATTTTATTTTTTGGAATTTGAAAATTTGAAAAAAAATTCAAAACCTCGACAATATTCTCTGTAAAATTATTCAACGCTGCTATTTGATAATGATAATAATTTTAAAAAAAAAAGAAAAAAAAACTCATCGATCTTCTAGAAAAAAATTGTTGTTCTCGAGAGCCGATTATATCGCCTCACGCTAAAATATTAAATACTTTTAACTTCAATTCATTTGCGAATAAATTTTTTTTCTAACTTTAACGGTGATTTAAAATAGAGTAGTTTATCCAAATTCATCAGCACAAGGCTAAGCCCGGAAACCGATGTGCCAAGCCACAATAAAAAATGCATCATAAGATTCACGTAATATGGGTATCGAACGTGAAACGTATCCATTATAAATTCGAGTGGAAAAGCAAAGCCTGTAATTATAAATAACCAACTAAAATTAGATACGTAAGAAATTAATAAACTGACTGGAATTTCAACAAAACAAGTAATATAATGCATATTAATATGCATGAATGCAGAGAAAATTAAAATTAAAATATGATCCAGAAGATAGTTTGCTGTGGAAGACAATTTAACTTTAACTTTACAAAAAAATGCTATTTTAGTAAAAAAAAATGTGATCCACATTGAACTTGATTCCTGCAAATAATAAATACCCGTAAATATCTCATTAATCTTAAAAATAATGATGGTTACTATCATTATTTATAATGATAAAAATGAATACAATAAAAAAAAATAAAACAATATTAGCGACGATAAGAAAAATATTAATAATTATAATAATGATAGTTATAAGTATAATAAGTATACCTGTGAGAAGAAGATCGGCAATGGTCATATTAAGAAGGAAGATATGAATGCAACAATCAGTTGTTTGTCGACGTATATAGGTGATAGCATTAGCTATCACATATAATTGAACTAATGAAGATAATATGCACATGATAAGTAAAGTTTTAATAATAAGTTTCTTGATGTGCATCACTTCTTCTTCACCTAATTTCTAAAAAATATTAATTTTTAGCAAAACTATTATGCTGATTAAAAATAAAGGATAAATGTGATCTTTCTCTGATAAACTGATAAATTCAAACTGTAAATTTAATTATTAAGTTTGTTGTTCATTGATTATATTCAACAACAGCGTTTGATAATAGCTAGCGGCACATTTTTTCTATATTTTATCTTCAAATAATTTTTTTGATAAAAAAATTTTTATCGTACTGATAGTTAATAGAGCGATTTTGAATTTTGACTAAAAATGGAATAAACGAACTGAAAAAAAAAGAAAAATCATAGGAAATCCCTTTAGTCACTAATAGAAGAATTTAAATGGCATAAAAAATTCGTCAAAATATTTGTAAAGAGGAAGGCGAATTTTTTTTCATTTATTTTAAATTAATATGTAAATATTTAAAAGGAAAGAAATTTTAGCACAACAAATTTTCAAATGGAGATCGCTTTCTTGCTTAAATTATCATTTAATGGATCCATGGAATTATTTATAAATTTTCTAATTAATTTTTGATAAGATAAAAAATAACTTGAAAAAATAACAATTTTTTAAAAAAGAATTTTACTTCTAATTCGATGCACTGCCTTGCTTCTTCATCTGTTGAATTCATTGCCAATCATAAGCCGATTAGTTTTTCTAAAACTGACTGACATTTTTACAATCAAAAAATTTGAAATAATGCAGCAACATATGCCAACACGTCAAAGGACAAAATGATAAAATGATAAAATTTTCTGAATTTTTTTTATATTACGAATAAAAACAGTACACTATCATAATCATAATTGGGTAAAAACAATAATCCGCTCAAAATTTCGGTGATTTCTTCTTCAAACTTGCATTTTCTGGTTGATAATAAGCTTCGATATTATTTGATTAGACGATAAATATTTCCCGTACTGTACAGGACGCTCATTTACATTTACAAGAACCATACCAAAGAATATATTTTTTATCTTTATTTTTTTTGATTATCAACCTTCCAAAACAAATCGCTCTTCGATTTGCTTTTGGCAGCTCATTTTTTAAATTCTTTTATAAATTCTTTCATTCTTACCACATTGATCGAATTCACTCGGTTGAACTGAACCAAATCCAATGCTCGTTTTCCAAGAATAAAAATTAATCAAAATAAATTTTATTTTTGAAATCCCATTATAAATCATTTTTTCAGCTAAGATTTTATATAGTATCTGTATTTTTTCAATATTCTTAATAGATAGAAATTGTCAAATACTCAATTAAATCTGCTTTTTTTAAAACCATTTTTAGATACTTTTATGATTTTAATTTATAAAAATAACGAAAAATTACTATTGAAACGATCAAAAATAGTCTATAAATCGCTCTTTCGACTGCGTTCCTCCTATCTTAATTTCGCATTATTTCGCACTAACATAGAGTTTAATAATTTTTATTACTTCCCTGTCGCTATTTTAATTGTTATTTATTTATAATATATCGTTAATACTTTATTTACACAAATGTTATACAATTTATACAAATATTTGTAATATTAAAATTGAGCGAGATGGCGAAAAATAGCGCTAAATCACGAAGATTGTTAAATAAATTTGCAGTGGTCTAACTTTTTTTATGAGATTAACAATAAATTAGATTTTTTCTTTTCTATCGCTTTTAAATAATAACTACTTTAGTAAATATTTAAAAATTTTATCTTTTAGTCGTAGTTCACTTTCTTTGAAATGAAGAAAATGAAGAAATGATTTTACAAATTTATAGTTAAATTGCAAGGGGTTCTTCGAGCAACCTCGATTGTCGCCTCCAGCATAAAATTCGATTCTTCCACTCGAGATGAATATACCTGCTATTAATAAATCCCAGCGGCACTAGAAAACCTACCTGAACTTCTGTTGTCAGATGACTTCCTGGCGAAAATTTCTAATCGTATTAACGAGCCAAATCGGAGCGCTTATAATCTTATATATTAGAATTGTAAGCTTGTAATCTGGCAATAATCTTTTGCAAAATAAGAAAAAATTAATAAATAATTCGATGAAAATAACACAGAATATTTTAATTCGAAATTTTTAGGAATCTTTTAGAATTCCTACGAAATGCAAACTGTTTTCTATCGATAAAATATAAACTAAGCAACCTTATAGCTGACTTTCTCAGTTAAACTACTGGAATAAGAAACATTTAATGCTGAGATAAATTTGAATAAGCAATAATAATGGTGAACGATCGGTTCATCGGTCTCAACGATTGGATTGGCATTACACGAAAAATTTTCTTAATGATAAGAATAATTTCGGTAAAATAAGTTGAAAAGGTGATAAAATGAAATTCAAGATTAGCCAAAGAAGTTATTGCGCTTTCGCTTAGCGATATTTTTCAACTAAAGTTCATAGGTTAAACTTATATGAATTGGAAGCGATTAAATTTCCCTACTAAATTAATTATTTCGATTAATCAAAGAGCATCATTTTTCAATAATCGCAAATAATCATAATCACACAACTGGCCTCATATAAAATCTTTCGATATCCTACAAGTTTGAAAATTAGTGGTGCCAGTGGTACTTTTGTGCATCCATGAATAAAGCAACAATGAATTGTCTCAAGAAGAAAGTGAAAGAGTTATTGAATTTTTGCCAATAAATATATCAAATATATAATAGGCTAAAATCCACTAAAATGAATAAGAAGACTAAGGCTATTCATTAAATAATTTTTAATAACGTTTGCGAAAATTTACAAGAAAGTTATGGAAATGTTAAAGGAATATCATTATATAGATATAACTTCATGTTTTATTTCCTGAAGAGAATAAGCTTGGCCATTGGAAGTGAAATCCGAGCTATGAGAACTGTCTCGTTTCAGAGAATTCTCAAATCCTGGCTAAGACTAATAAAAATTGTCGGCAAGAAGAGAAAAGGCAGAATAGGAGAAAAAGAAAGATATATTTTTGAGTTATTTGTTGCAAACAATTAGTTTGATATTGAGACAAATTTTTTACGGATGACAAAGATAGCAATCAAATTCGTTATAATCAATATCAATAAAATTACTCTATTCTTATACCTCAAGTAATGAGAAAAATCCGTGCTAAAGCCTAATTAAGCAACGAAAATTAATCGAGAAGTGCCTAAAAAATTTTGAACACTGCTTGCTAGCCTTACCACCCGTCAACAGTCAGATCAGTCTATTGAAGTGAAATGAAGTTCTGAGGTGATATCTAAATTATCTTTTCACCATCATTTTTCAGTAATAGTTATTAAAAATCGAATTAATGCAATAGATCTCCCTATACTTTTATGCCAAAGCGACTCGCTGATAAAAGTAAATATGAGGAAGGAATCCATGTTTCTTTCATCTTCCATCATATTTTTTGCAAGTTTTTCATATTCTAAAGAGGCCAAAATAATTTATTTTCAAGTTCAAGAAAGATCGTCGAAATTTTTCATCGAAAATTTTTTTTTCATTGCCTTTTTTTGTACAATTTTATAAATATATTTAAACATGAGGTGACCAGAAATTTATATGTTTTCTTTTAATTTTGTGATGAAATATTTTAATTTGTTTGAATTCATCTAAAAATAGAAACAAACTATTAATAAAATACAAAATATAGGCAGTAGTAAATCTTGCAGGAAGAAATAGATTAATAATTTAATTCTTTCTGAAAAAAATTAGTTTATTTCAAAATTTTATTATAAATTTAATCGAAAGTTGTGAATTAAATTTTATTTTTAGCAAAAAAAATTGAGTAATATTAATACAAATTCTCCAAAGCTGCGATAAATGCATCTATATTGAAGAATAAAAAAAAAAATTGAAACTATCGAAAGAAAAATTTTATGAAATAAATGCTTAGCAATAAATGTCATCATTTCTAGTTAAGCTAGTTCCACTAGGTCGCTAGCATTGTTTTTGCTAGAGAGAGAATTCCAAACATTGATGATTCTGATGCTCCGAGCAACAACTATTCGGCTACTCTATCCCAGAGACGACGCTTTAATAAATTAAGGTAACCAAAAAACTATAAGTATAAAATTATTTCATTTAGAAAAAAACCGTAAGTAATTTAGCTTCGATTTATTCACCGTATTATTGCACCACCACTCCGATTAGCTTTAAACGAAACTCATTTTAGAAAAATTTATTTGACACGACTCAAAATAAACTATCAATTTCAAAAGGAATTCATCAATAATATCATATCAGAACCAGGTTATTGCAACGAAGTGCAAATGTAATGAAAAATGAAAAAAAAAGTATAATTTAAAATATAAATTTAGCATAAACTGCAAAAAAATTGGATAAATTATAAAAATACGATTTATGCGGTAATAATTTAATGATTAAGAGGTGTTTGATTTTGAGATAACATTCCTTGCTAGGAAATTTGCTTGATAGATGGAAATGAAAGAACTATAGGAAATTTATAGTGGCTGCTAATCTCTAAAATCTATTTTGAATAATAAAAGATTATCCATGAATAATTAGCTAAACGATTAAGAAAAAAACTTACATTCTATTTCTTTATTTCTTTATAAACAATTTTATTCTATAAAAAAAGTCACCATTTGTGATTTGCTTCTAATGAGATGAAATAACTTTGTGAGAATCACTTGGAACAGAAGGTTAAATAGGTTCACAATCCCATGTGGATTTCAATTTTAATGAGCACTTTATCTAAGTAGCAAAGTTACAGGAATTGAACATTTAGTGTCGAAAAAAATGACTTATCTGACACTTATCTCGCACGTGAATTGATAAATATTTTTATCATTTCCAGTTTTTTAGAAACAAATGAAAATTTTTCATTAATGGCAACAAAGAAGTCATTTATTTAAATCTTAAAACAATTATTAGAATTAAAATTGTAGTCAAAATTATTCCATATGAAGCCACTAAAAAAGAGACAAAAAACTGCTTGAAAAAAACGAAAATTAAAAATGCATTCGATTTTTTCAAAATGTGAGAAAAGATAGCAATTTTGTTGTTGTAGTTTTAAATTGA